TCTACTAAAGATCTCTTTGACACAAGACTGGGAAACACAAGCCTCATGTTTCCTTAGTACTTTGTGTTCTCTTAATCACACTGTAATTGCTTGCTTATTTGTCATTTTGCCATGTACTAGTTTAAGTTATAACAAAATGTCTAAAAAATATGATCTGAGTTGCATTGAAATAAAATAAAAAAGCAATTAAATAGTAATTTGTGAGCTTACTTAGTAGAGAAAGAACAGAGACATTGGTTCTAATAGATGAAAATTATCTATGTTTGAATGTAAAATATTCTTTGACATCTAATTTCTATCTATTAAGTTTTCTTGTTATTAGGTAGAACATTTGGAGTTCAGGTTCTGGAAGTGGCTCATGAGGGTGGGTGTTATTGGCTCATATGACAATATAATAGAGCTTGTATGATGAAGGTGGCCATGAGGGTGGGAACTTGACTATAGCTGGGCTTTTCCTGTATATAAAATGCATACGGGCCTCATTTCTCCTGCTGAGGATGTGACCTGATTCCTATCAGCAGCACAGGCTTGTTTACTTAGAGTCTCATGTTAGTGGCTCTCTTTTGTTTGATGACACTTACATAACCTGTGTTCTTTTAGTAGAAAGCTGACCTCTGGTGGAGGAAGGAATGGGGAAGGAGTTCTGGGCAGGTATAGAGAATGTCCATTGCCATTCTTAGTTACTTGTCTCATCATGAATTGGTTATTTGTGGGAAGGAGGTGTTGTGTATTATAGACCTGAGTATTCCAGGTGCTGAAATGGTAGGTAAGTCTACTTACCTACCATCCATCCATCCATCCATCCATCCATTCATCCATCCATCCATCCATCCATCATTTTTGTTTTTTTGAGACAGGGTTTCTCTGTGTAACAGTTCTGGCTGTCTTGGAACTCTCTCTGTAGTCCAGGCTGGTCTCAAACTCACAGAAATCTGCCTGCCTCTGCCTCCCAAGAGCTGGGACTAAAGGTGTGTGCCATCACTGCCCGACTAAGCCTACTGTCTTAAAGAACTAGCAGTATGCAAGATATTTATTCAGTTTTTGTTTTCTAAATAATACACATATATGCTTTCATAAAGTGGAGATGGAGAGATGGCTCAGTGGTTAAGAATACTGACTGCTCTTTCATAGGACCCAGGTTCAATTCCCAGCACCCACATGCAGCTCAAAACGGTAACTCCAGTTTCAGGGGACCTGACACCTTTACACAGACATACACGTAGGCAGAACACCAATGCACATAGCATAAAAATAAAGGTGTCAGGATAAATGTGTGGCTGGGATGCAGTGGGAATTGAGTTGAAATCAGACTTTGGGAGATAGGATGACTTTTATGAAGGAATTAATTGAGCTAGAAAGTATTGCTTTGGAGGGACTGGCTTACCACCTGAAGCAGGTGTGCAGATACAGATGGAATAGAGTATATGTAACTATGGGAAGAGGATGCATCTATGAAGGTGAGGGACCAGGTCATAAGAGTCCTTGAATGCATTACCAGGGAAGTAGAACTTGTTGTTGAAAGCCATAGAGTCATTAAAAGTTTTTAAGTTCAAGTACCCGTGGAATATTCATGTGGCAGTTAACTATAGAATTTGGAAGAGAATCCCTTAATAGAATCAGTCATAGCTGTTGAAGCTATGAGCTTGGGTGAACTTAGACAAAGTGAGTAGAACAAAAGACAGGTGATGTGACACAACCCAGGAGGAATAATGATGTGAAACAGGTGAGCAGAAGAGAAGCCTACGAATGAGAGAGACTGAGAGTGGTTGCTAAAGAAAACCAATAGAGGGGTCCCCATGATGCACTGGGGATATATTCTAAGACTAAATGGGAGCCTGAAACTGCAGATAGTACTAAACTGTGTATGTACTATATTTATCTTTTTTCTTTACTCCGTATTTATTAAAGATTCCCATATAAAAAAACACTCTGCTGATGTTTTGTTGTATATAAAACATGCTTTGTTTTCTTGATATCAAAGTCTAATTAGGAAATGAATAATGAATGAATAAGAAGGGGCCAGCAAGATGGTTTAGGGGTTAAAGGAATGCTGTCAAAGCTGATTACTTGAGTTTAATACCCAGACCTTACATGGTAGAAAAAGAGACTAGGTAGCTATAAGTTGTCTTCAGACCTCACGTGTACTTCATGGAATGCATATGTCCACATACATACACATGAAATAAATAAATAGAAAAAAATCTTAAAAGAAGGACAAGAAAAAGCAAGAAGTTGGAGATGTAGATTGACAGCGACAGTGGAGGTAGAGGTGGAGGAAATAAGGTTACATCTTCATGAGAGGATAAGGTTAAATGATGGCTTCAAAGACTTATCACAGTAAATGAAAGTAAGGAATCTCAGGGTGGTGATTCATCGTTTTAATCCCAGCGTCTGGAGGCAGAGGCCAGCCTGGTCTTTAGAGCTTGTTGCAGGACAGCCATGGCTACAGAAAACAAAAGAAAACAAAAACAAAAACAAAAGAAAAAAAAAAAAAAAAGAAAGGGAAAGAATCAAGGATTATTTTTGCTAAATTTATGGTTGAGCCATTGGGGAAGTAGTTTAGGAGACTGAGAATATTATTGAGGGCAGAGGTGTAAAATGTACATTGTGAGACATAAACTCTGAGATGGCTTTAGATATGTAGTACATTAGGATTCTAGCTGGAGGCAGGACATTGTGACATGCACATGGGAGGTAGAGGCCGGAAGATGTTCTCTGCTACATAGCTAGTCTGAACTACATGAAACATTGTCAGAGTGGGAGAAGGAAAGGGAATCAGAGTACATATCTAAGTTCAGTCCTCAGTACCGCTACAAATAAAAACAAATAAACAAAAACCTAAGTTGAAGTATAAATACAGATACCCATGTAGAATAATACGTAGTTTTAAAGAAAAAGGACTTGGGTTGGGCTGTGGTAGTGAATGCCTTTAGTCCCAGCACTTGGGAGGCAGAGGCTGTCCTGGTAATTTATGACTTAAGCACAACAGGAGATGAACGACAACAGTGAATAATAAAATAGAAAGTGGTAGAATCATTCTAACAATATATTGGTATATGAGGCCAGCCTGGTCTACAGGGCGAATTCTAGGATGTCCAGGATTACACAGAGAAACCCTGTGTAATCAAACAAAACAAAACAAAAGGCTTTATGAATGTGATCTTTCAATACTGTCGGGGCTGGAGAAATGGCTCAGTGGTTAAGAGGATTGGCTACTCTTCCAGAGGACCTAGGTTTAATTCCCAGCATCCACATAGCTGCTCACAATCACTTGTGACTCCAGTTCCAGGAGATCCAGTGTCTGATTTGGGCCTCTGTGGGCATCACACATTCTTGTGGTGTGCAGACATACATATAGGGAAAACACTCATAAAAGAAAAGATTAGGGGGCTGAAGAGATGGCTCAGAGGTTAAGAGCACAAGTTGCTCTTCCAGACATCCTGAGTTCAATTCCCAGCAACCACTTGGTGTCTCACAACCATCTATAATGAGATCTGGTGCCCTCTTCTAGCATGCAGGCATACATGCAGATTGTACACATAGTAAATAAATAAGTAATAAATAAAAAAGAAAAAAGATTGAAGGATCACACTCCTACTTCTTGTGATAGGTTAGTCACAGAGTGCCTTATGTGATGAGATGAAGTGAGGTGAATGGAGTCTGCACTCTTCTTGATTAAGTATTAGGCTACTGCTTCCCTCCATTCAATGTTGAAGAGCTGGTCTTTAATACATTTTTTTCCCTCTTTTTTGAGACAGGGCCTTGCTCTGTAGCCCTGATTTGTCTGGGACTGTTTTGAGCATTTTGGCTTCAAACTTGGAGTGATTCTCTTGCCTGTCCCTGAGTACCAGGTTTACAGATGTACAGTGTCATACCTAGCTTCTAGAGAACCACTGTGAGTAGAGAGGAAGGATTTATTGTCTTTGGCTCATGGTTTCCAAGGTTTCAGGCATGGCATCATGGTAGCTCGAGTATGGGGCAGAACATGGTTGCTCACTTCATGTCAATGGTGAGGCAGAAGGAGACTGAGAGGGACCTAGAAACAAACCCTTCATTTGACATGTGACCTGCATCCTTCAGCCAGACACTGCCTCCTAAAGTATCTACTGCCTCCCAAAACGGCACCAGTTGGGGACCAACCCTTCAACGTACAAACACCTATGGGGAATATTTTCTATTCAAGAGTCAAACTTAGGCCTTGTGCATGCTAGGTAAACATTACAGTAAGCCATTTGAAATAATGTTAAGGTAAATAGTACCTAAAATAAAATGTATTGTTCTGTTATTTTAATGCCTTTCCTCCCTTTTTATGGTTGAAGATTTGAGATGCAGTCTAACCATTGTAGCTCAGTCTGGTGTCAAACTTGTTATAACGTTCAGACTGTTCTCAGACATTGATGCTGCATTAGCCTCCTGTGTGCTTGGATTACAGGCATAGACTTCCACACCTGGTTGTACCAGGTCAATTTCTACCAACCTTTCTAACAATGGTTTCTTAGTATTGATTAGTGATTTATTTTTCATCATTTATTTGTGAAACAAACAATATTAAAAAGTAAAAATAGGCCAGGCGGTGATGGCACAAGCCTTGAATCCCAGCACTTGGGAGGCAGAAGCAGGCAGATCTCTTGAGTTTGAGGCCATCCTGGTCTACAGAATGATTTCCAGGACAGCCAGAACTGCTACACAGAGAAACCCTGTCTGGAGAAACAAAAACAAACAAAAGAAACAAACAACAACAAAATAACAACAACAACAAAAAGGTGTGTTCTTATTTTGGATTTTTATTCATTTAAGATTAGATTATAATGTGAATGCTGGGTATGGCACACTTTTAATACCAGCACTTGGAAGACTGAGGCAGATGATGGATCTCTGAGTTTCAGGCTAGCCGAGAGTAAGTTTTGAGCCTACATAGTGAGACTACCATGTCCCTCCCAAGTTGTAATTGATATGGGTGTGCCTTATATGTATATTGTATTTCATTATTTTCTAGTAAGAAGACAGCTTTAGAGTTGCAGATGTCAACTGTGGCCTTTCTAAGCACCCTGATATCGCCAGTGCCAGCCATCCAGACAAGACAGTAAGGACTGCTAAAATCATAGGGGATGAATATTTTACATGTAAGTTTTCAAGCTTTCATTTACATACTTGATTGATTAAAAGAAAAATCATGAGAAAGCAGGTATCAGAAATGTTGGTTACTGGAGTGTGTGGAAGAGCTGGTGTTAGTCTTGTGAAATGGTGTTGACTTTGACAGTTTCACTGTATTATGGTCCCAGTCTTTTCATTTAATGGGTGTTTTAGTCTCTCTTTTCCTAAAATTTAACTTCTTGATCTTTCCTATTTTACATATCTTTAGCCATGTATCTTTTATGTGTCTGTTTTATGTATGGAACCATATTAAGAACATGATTCATGTCAGAAAACATGCTCATCAGGGAGATGAAACTTCGTGGATATCCTGGTCCATCACTTTTCCAGGTTCTGTCCAGGTTCAGTGGTGTAGGCAGCGCAGTGCTCTGTGTGACGTATTTCAGTCCCTTCCCAGTATTCAGGATGAAAATGAGCTTTGTGTTGGTTAGCACTGTGGATTCTTCCAGCCTCTCTGGGTTCTGAGGGATAATGATGGAGAAGACGGATCAGGTATATACAAAACATGTCTAAAAATAATACAGAAAATACAAGTTAGTGAATTAACATCGGAAAGCCCTAAAACAAGCAAGATGACTATTGCAGTGAGTAGGAAAGGATTGCAGAATGTGTTGGAGGATTGAAGAGAGATATACCTTCTGTCTGTTCTAAGAGCTAGAGTCACATGCTGCCCAGCACCTGGCTTTATCTTAACAGGGTATCTATCTCCCAGCTTTCAGTCCTCCAGATACTGTATTCTTTTACTTAAAGAGTATTATTTCCATAATTTAACTATATTCTGTTTTCTACTGATATTCAGGATGTCTTCAGTTATCAATTACTGTAGTTTTTATGATCTGTAGGTGCATGTAAAAGACAATTGGTTCTTTTCTTTTCTTTTTTTTTTTTGAGATAGGGTTTCCCTTTAAAACAGTCCTAGCTGTCCTGGAACTCACTTTGTAAACTAGCCTGATCTTAAACTCACAGAGATCTTTCTGCCTCTATCTCCTGAGTACTAGGATTAAAGGCGTGCACTGCCACTCCTTGATTTAACATTGTATCTTAAAAAAAAAAAAAAATCAAAACCAACAAAATCCTGGACTCCAGCAGGTTGGGAGGCCAAAGCAGAGAATTGGAAGTTCAACACTTGAGTGACCTTAAGACAAGCTTAGGAAACTTAACTCATTAAATGAGAAGAGGCCTGAGAATGTAGTTTAACAGTAGAGCACTCTAGCATGTGTGAGGTCCTAGGTTCAACTCCTAGTACTACAAAATAACCAAAATTTAGCCCTGATTGTCCTGAAACTGTAGACCGGGCTGTCCTTGACTTCAGAGATCTGCCTGCCTCTGCCTCCCCAGTGCTGGGATTAAAGGTGTGCGCTGCCACGCCTGGCTTATTCTTTAAATTAATTTTTTTTTTTTTTTTTACTTTCCATAATTTCTTGCTGTTCTTAAATACCTATACTTGAGCACTCCTTGTGCTTTGTGTCCACAGTAATCTGGACTACACTCTCTTATTTTTAGTCACTGTCCTATTGTTATGAACAAATACCATGACCAAGGCAACTCTTATAAAAGAAACTATTTAATTGGGAACTTTACAGCTTCAGAGCTTAGTTCATTATCATGGTTGGGGGCACGGCTTTGGGCAGGGGTGGTGAGGGAGAAGTAGCTGAGAGTTACTACATCCTTATATGCAAGCAGAGAGGGATTATGGCTGGGCCAGGGATAGAAACCGACTGCAGGGCCTGGTCCACACCTCTTAATCCTTCTAACCCTTCTCAGATAGGGCCACTCCCTTGTTACTAGACCACCACACTGCCTAAAATTCTGTCTTACTGAGTAGAGTAGCCTTGTTTCTACTTAGCAATAAAACAACTTACTTTTAAAAGGAACAAGTAATGCAAGTAGACATTTCTTCAAAGAAGATACACAAATGGTAATGTACATACAACATTGGTCACATTAAGCTTTAGGGCAATGCAAATTTAGATAAATATAAGTAAAATTGCCATAATTAAAAAGAACAGGTATTGGTGAGAGGGTTGTAGTGAAATTGGAGCCCTTGTATATTGATTGCTACTGGGAATTGCAATGATGCACCTCAAGGAAAAATAGGCTAGTGGTTCCTCAAAAGGCTGAACAGTTACCATATGACTTAGAATTCCATTTTAAGAAATATGAAAACATGTATCTATATAAAGCTCATTCAGGAATTTTAGAATGGGACTGGAGAGATGACTCAATGGTGAAGAGCACTGGCTGCTCTTCCAGAGGACTCAAATTCACTTCCAAGTACCCACATGTTGGCTCATAGCAGTCTCTAACTCCAATTCCAGGGGATCCAGTGTTCTCTTTTGGCCTCCTTAGGCGCTGTACACATGGGGTGCACTTACACACATGCAGCAAAATACCCATGCGCATAAAATAAATATTAAAAAAGAATGCTTAGAAAGATTATGTATCATAATCAAAAGTAGATATTCAAATTTCCATCTTCTGGAAGGTTATTAAATAAGGTATGATGTGTTCTTACCACAGCCTGTTGCTCAGCAACAAGGTGAGTGAAGTGTTGCTGTCATAGGCTACAACTTAGGTGAAGTTTGAAAATGTTAAGCAAGTGAAATAGAACAAAAACACAATAAAAAAAAAAAAGCCATATTGCTGGTTCCATTTATAGTTTCTTGAGTAGGCAGTCTACATAAACAGGAATGAGACGGGGGTGGGGTTGGGGGTGGGATTAAATGCTTGTAGGAATGTCCTGGGATTAGATTGTGATAGTTTTACAGTTCTGTAAATAAACCAAAAAGCCTCTGAGTGTGTGCTTCAAAATGATGAATTTTAGACTAGGGGAGTGTTGGCTCAGTGGTAGATACACCTGCCTTTGTCTCCTGAGTACTGGGTAACTGGGTTTAAAGGCGTTAGCCACAGGCCTGGACCTAGCAGGTTTTACAGAGTGCTTAAGGTATGAGTTGTAAGGGAAAAGAGAGTCAAGAGCTGCTCATGTGTACCAGCTTCTGATGGGAGATGTCTCTTAACAAGCTTCCAGTCCCAGCACTCTGCTAGGTGGAAGTCAGCTGGGCCTGTAGTGGAACACGATAAATAAATGACCCAGAGACTGATATTGGGGTTCAAACTTAAAGCTGAAGGTCAAAAAAGAAAGTACCAGTTCTCTTATCTTTTTACCTCTACCTTAGGCTGAATGGGCTGATCTTGTCTCTACGAGCCTCAGACTGTAACCTCCACTCAGCATGGCTGGAGAATGAATGCCTGATACTGAGATCTTGCTCCTGTCTTATATACCACTCTAGTGGTGGGATTAAATGAGGGAACTCTGTTACTTTTTTAGACCGATTCATTTTCATGTATCCTTGGATGGCCTAGGATTTACAGAGATGTCTATCGCTTCATCCTGAGTCCTAGGATTAAAGGTGTATATCATCACCTCCTAACTTTCTGGCTGCTGGAATTAAAAGTGTGTGCCTGGCTTCTATGTCTTGTGGTTGACTTTGCTTTCTGAGTCCTCAGGCAAGTTTTAATAAATCATAAATATCACTACACTACCGAGTGAGACATTGTCTCAAAACAACAACAAAACAATTGGTTTGAGCAATTGGCAATTGCCCTTAGCTGAGATGACTTGGATGTTTATTGATCACTGTGATCTCTGAACAAGCATTGGAGGAAAGAGTTTAAGGAAGGGTTTATGCAGCGTCTTTTTCCCAAGGTTTCTATCAGCACACTGGCTCCTTTGATCTGGGCCTGCAGTGTGGCAGAACCCCATGGCTGGAGCATGTGGAGAACAGCAGAGGAGTTTCCTCCTTGGAGTGGAGGAGTCAGATAGGGAGACAGGAAGAACTAGGGCTAGACAGATTCTTCATGTCACACTCCAATGGCAGTGACTTACTTCTGCTTCCTCTAAACAAGTTTTACCTTCAGGTTTCTACTACTACCCAATTGTTAATCCATCCACATATTAATCTTGATTAGGTCAGAGCTTTCATGAGCTAGTCACATCTCAATCATCAGATCTATCGGTTGAGAATCAAGCCTAGTGGGGAGTGTGACATCAGGACCAGGAAGAATTACTTGTTAAATTAGAACATGTTAATTTGTTAGCATGTTGCTTGGGTTTTAAGCTATTAGTTTGAATGAAACCACCAAAAAGTAGAGGAGACAGACAAAAAGAGGATTTAAGACTAAAAAAAGCCCTAGACACTCCATTGTTTGAAGGCAAAAGATGAGAAGACCTCAAGAGTGGTAGTGTCTTTAAGAGGTTAAGATCTCAGGATGAATTGAGCAACTATAGAAAAGTAAGGATGGAGAAAGGAAGTTGAGATTCAGATTTTCCTGACTTTTCCTCTCCCTTTGCTCACTGCCTCTCTCCCCTCCTCTGATACATGAGCTAGATCCCAGAGCAGCCTCATGTTTACTGGATAAGTGTATACCACTGAGCTATATCCCTGGCTAAATTCCCTTACTACTGGTTGCTAATATACAGGAATATAGATGGGGCCAGGGTAGAGCATTATCACAAAAGCCTGAAGGCCTGAATGCCTTCTGTAGAGCTCATGCAAAGGTGGAGGGAGATAAACAGCTGTAACTCCAATCTTCCCACCCCTACATGCGTCTCAGTTGCATGCAGTAGTAACAGCAACAGTAAATTTATTAAAATAATGCCATTACTTGATGAATTCAGTTCTCTAGAATGATAGTTCTGTATATATGTATTTCTTTATTAGAACATTTTCATTTTTCCTTGCTTTTGGAGCCATAGCCTGGCTGTCCTGGACTCAGTATGTAGACCATACTGGCCTGGAACTCACAGAGATCTGGCCTGTCACACCTGACTTTTTTCCCCTAGAATTTTTATTTCTTTTTCTTCTACCCTTACATGCTGCCTTTGACCTCTGGTACAGTGTAGTAGGAAAGTGATTGTGGCAAGAATCTGCTTTTCAGTTTGCAGTAGTTGGGGCATTTAAAAGCGCCTTCATCAGTTCCTTCTGTTTCCAGTTTGTTTGAGTTAGCATGAGCACCTATGGATATTTTTTCAGATTAGTGTAGTTTCCTGTGCACACAGTGAGTTGTCATTTTTCCTTTGTTTTGTTTAACACGAGGAGTTGTGTTGATTTTTCAGCCATTAAAAAAGTCAGTCTTAATAAACTGATGCATTGCATTTTTATGTCCCTAATGTAACTTAAGTGGTTAAAGTTTACATATGAAGTTTCTAGAGTGCTCTGTGTTAAAGGCTTGGCCCTTAGCTGGTGGACATGGACTTTGCGAGGTGATGGGGGCATAAGGGCTTTGATGTAATCATTGGATTAGTTCACTGCTCAATTCATAATTTGGCATTAATTAAACAGGGTGAAAACTAGGAAGTGGGTCCGTGCTTGGAGGAAGTAGGTGCAGAGTAGGGAGGCAGCATCACTATAAAAGGTGTCCTAGCACTTCTCAGGTCTTCCTCAAGGAGCTGGCAGGAAGCAGCCTCCCTACCACTGTTGCTGCTGTCTGATCTGCCTCATTATAGGGGCCATAGCAATGGAGCTACCAGACCAGAAGCTAAAACACGAAACTGTGACCGAAAATAAATAATTCCTCTTTTAGTTTATTACAAGTATTTTGTCACAGTGATAAAAAACTGTAGCTTATCTGTTATTGTTTTAATATTTGTTTGCATTAGTGAGATATTACTATAATTTACAAATGTAATGTCTTTATGGGTTTCGTTTTTATGGCTTGGCTGGCTGGCTGGCCAGGGAGCTCTTTCCTGGGGCCTGAAGTCAGGTCCTTATGCGGTGCCCCAGGCTTTTTTATAGGTTGACCTATCTCCCCAATTTGACATATCTCTCCAGCCCAATGACTTGGTCTTTTTGATAAGTTAAAAGTATGTTGCTCAGGTTCCAATTGTTTGAAGATTTTCCTGTTGTCTTTCTGTTACCAACATTTAGTTTGTCTCTGTGGTTATAGAGCATATCCTTGAAGTTTGTTGAAACTTGTTATGTCATGTAGATTATGGTTTATCATTGTCTAGTTGTTCTACTGCTGATAGTGCAGTATTGAGATGTTGACTAAAGTGAGATTTGTTTACTTTTCCTTTTAGTTCTATCAGCTTTTCCTCCCTTGCTTGTAGTTATGTTTTTGATGTACAGAATTTAGTTTTATATTTTTTTCTGGTGGATTGGTCCTTATTATTACACAATGACCCCCCCCTTAATCTTTGCTCTAAATTCTACTTATATCTGATATAATACATAAAAAGTAATTTTCTTTAATTTTAATTAATTTAAATTTAGGCACATGTGGCTGGTGGCTGTCATGTTACTGGAAGGTGGAGGGAGCTATGACACAAATTTAATTAAAAGGTAAATTTTATAGTATGCTAAAAGATGTTAAGGGCAATGAGTGATTAGCTAGAAAGGGAAGATTGAGAGAGGGAGTGGGATATTTGACTTTGAATTGGATAATCAGGGAAGAAATTCTTGAATATGACACTTGAAAAGAGAACAAAATTATAGAGTGAGAATTATTAATGCTAATAACTTGTGGGAAGAACGGCTGGCAGGGAGGCAGACCATTGCATGAACTTGAGCTTTTACTCGGACTGACCTGGGAAACTACTTGAGAGCTTAGAGCAGACCCTGATCCTAGCTGACTTGGGTTGTGTCAGGATTACTATGGCTGGTATGTCGGAAGTAGATGCTAGAGGAATTTGGTGCAGTGGAGACAAGCTGGGGTAGGAATGTGGGAGCAAGGTGAAGTTTGCCAGACCCAGTGCTTAAGGTAGATTTTGGGAAAACTATCAAGGCATTTAATTTCAGAGATTGTCATCTCTTAAAACCTCTGTAATTAAAGATGATTAATTTTAGAGATGCTAAGTTGGAGGTATTTTTTAGACATATCCAAGCAGAGAAAACAAGTAGACGGTGGAACTTACATTCTACTGGATATGGATAGTAGCCAGTGCTCAGAAGTTTAAAGTCATTCTTGGATACATAGGGAGTCCAAGGTCACCTGGGCTACAAGAAAAGATCTTGTACTGAATTAACAATATGTTCACATTTGAGTAATAATAGGTGGTGAGAAAATCCATCTTCTAGATAGATACCTGGTAGAAAAGTAGGTGGTGGAGTCAAAGGGTAAAGGTACCAGGTGGGAGCATGGCTGAACTGTTTGAAGAAGGAAGAACAGAGGAGCCAGGAGGCCTAGTGTGCTTCAGGTGGCAAGAGCAAAGGAGCGGTTAGGGGAGGGTGCTGCCACGATGGCAAGTGTCTGGATGCCAGGCTATTTTAATGGTGCTCTGTCTGAGTGAGATGGGAAATTAGGGACAGTTTAGCAGAAGGAAGGTGGCATCCAACCTATGGATTAGCTGTTACTGCCCGTGTTAAGTAAGTGGATAGAAAAGGGACGGAAGTGGGGTGATTGGTTAGTTTGTTAGTGCAAGGAACCTAGTAGAAAGGCTGTGGTAATCAAGTCTGGGGTGAGGGGATAAGGAACACACTTTAGGAATTATATTGCCAGGTTGTCTTTCCACTTGGATGAGAGGCAAGGATTATTTCAGGATTTTAACCTGAGCATCTAGAAGGATAGAGTTACATTAACTAAGGTGGGAATGCCAGGAGAGCAGGTTTAAGGGGGTGGGGGTAGGGGCTCAGTATTAGAGATGTTAAGTTTAGGATGCCTATTAGATATCTGAATATATATGTTCAATAGGCATTCTGGTAATGTTTATAGGCCCCTTTATGCTTAAAAGATTAACTGATGATATTAAAATAGTACATTTATTATTTAGAAACATATTATGCTGTTATTGTTACTTTAAATTTTTAACATGTTCAATACTGCCAAAACTGGAGTGTTTTGGAGATCAATTGACTTGTTTTTGGCTTTGCTGCCAGAGTTGGTGGGACTTTCTTATAGTTACACAGAAATGTCATTCCATCTTAGAGGTGGAAATACAATTATGTAGTCTGAGTATTTTTACTTGCTTTCTATTTTAGGTCCTATTACTACTGGATTTGCAAGATTTTAAATACAATTTTTTCTTTGAGTTATGATTTAAATGTCAAAAATCTTTAAATTTTTTTTAAAAAGGGAACTATTTTAGTTTTGGAAGTCAGAATGCCAAGGAAAAGGAAAAGTCTTGGGGGAACTCCTTTGCGGAAGACTGCAAACTCTCGGGAAATTGTCGTGTCCCGTGTTGCTGGTCATGAGGAGCCAGCCACTACTCTTCCTTCCATGTGTGAGACAAAAATTGATCAGGAGGAACTCTTCACCAGTATCTCAGAGATGTTTTCTGCTCTGGATCCTGATGTAGTGTATTTGATGCTTTCTGAATGTGATTTTAAAGGTGAGAAAAGTTTAGTTTGAATCCTTTGCATCTTATAAGAAGACTGAATAGCAATGCAGAAAAATGATGTTCTCATTTTGTTTATTATATGTTATCCCCCATGAACAAAGGTATCACTAAAGATGTGACAAATATAAAGATGCTTTCTACTGTAAAGTAATGGATAGTTGTAGCTGTAAGATGCATGAATACAGATACAGTCTATATTTTATTTTCTCTTGTCTGCTTTAGATAGGTTGGTGTTGCTGACATCTTTGACTTTGTTTTACTAATTTGTTAATAAAAAATAATAGTATGTTTCTTATAGGGTAGGACTTTTTTGGTGAGGGTTGAAGGTTTATTTTGTTGTTTGGTTTTGGTTCAGACTTCAGTATAGTATACTATAAAAAAACTGTAATAAATTGGTTAGAAGTATGTTTGCAGGCAAAAAGAACTCTTAAGTAGGCCGTGTGGATAAAAGTTAATATTGTTTTTGGGTATGGTTTTTATAAGATAAAATCATTTAGACTTGAAGGTTTTGTTAATGTTTGGTATAAATTTGCATTCTAAGTCATTGTATGAGCTGTGATGTGAGCATTTCTCTCCTGTTATGATATATACCAAAACCCAGGTTTCATTCAGTGCTCAGAAGGAATAGCAGGTAACATGCCATAAATGACTAGTGCACTTACTTCCTAATTTTGTTGTCTTTACATTTTATTTGTTGAACATACATGTACGAAGCAGCGTAGAATTGCAACCATGTTATCCTACGTCCTAACAAACTCATTTCTCTTTTTCAGGATCTCCTGTAGACCTTGTTTATAAATACTTGATGTTATGAGTACCTTAAATAATAGCATTGATGATATTTTATATTCTGCTTTTTAAAACTTCATATAATGAAAAAGTTTTTAGTGCTCTTACAGATTTCTTTTTATAACAAGCTTTCTGTGTTTCTCTTTGGTGGTTTCCCAATGCTCCAGTGAGTTGTATTCTGATTTAGTTATTTCTCTTTAATTTTGTCATGAATCATCATTATTACAAAGAACATTTTAGTGAAGTGGCTCATTGTTTCTTTTGGCTTTTCTTCTTAGCCCCAAAGCCTTACTTCTTGCAGCACAGGTTAAGAATAGTTTTTTGGGACTGGAGCGATGGCTCAGCAGTTATGAGCATTGGCTTGTCTTCCAGAGGACCTGGGTTCAATTTCCAGCACCCACATGGCAGCTTACAACTATCTGTAACTCCAGTTCCAGGAGACCTGATACCCATAGCAAAACATGAATACACATAAAATAACAAGAATAAAAATAAAAAAAAGAATAGTTTTATGGTCTTGGGAATATACTGTTAAATTACCTACCAGTGAGGTATACCAGTGTGTAATATCACCACAGCCTTCTCAGCCTTACGAATAATTATCTTAAGATTTTAGTAGGAATAAAATTGTGCCTTTTCTTAACTTTTCAAAATAAAGAATAATGTTGAATATTTTTTGTATTTGTTTTTCATATTCTATAAACTATTCATTTAGTTTTTAAGGTCTTTTTGTATCATAGTTTTAAATTTCTAGCAATTTGTTTAAGACTTCTATTTAATGATAATTAACTTTGTATCATGATAATTTACTTTATACTGCATTTCATTATAAATATGTTCTCTAGTTGATCATTTTTGGTTCATTTACCTTGTAGGTTTTTTTTTTCCTTCTTCTGTTTGCTTTTTTCCCTACACTTTGTTTCAGTGTTCAGGGCTTCTTGCCTTTGTAAGTTTTGCTCTGTTCTCCTAACTGATGTCTCTGCCAGGACTGCCCCTCCAACCCCTCTTTGTTTTTCTCTTAAGGGAACATTAATTGGGTGCTTACTAGGTGCCAGTCCTTGTGCACAGCACTTTTCATGGATTATCTCATTTAACCCCCACATCAACCTATGAGGTAGGTACTTTTATTACCCCCTATTACAAACAAGAGAGTCGGCTTAGGGAAGTTAGCTAGTTGTTTCAGGTATCCTGTCAAGCACGTAGAGATTTAAATGGTGGTGTTCTGACTCCAGAACAGAGCTGTGATCTATGTGCTGTGTTTTCCCGTGTTTGTCTTCCTTAAGACAAAACAGCACTAAACAGAAACATAAAATAAAAAAGACCTCCAAATTTCAGTAGCTTAAAATCACTTTCTTTTCTTGAGGTGCCTATTATCAAACCCAGGGCCTCAAGCATTCTAACCAGACACTCTGCCACTGAGCAGCATCCCTAGCTCTTACATAGTTAAAACCTGATGGCTCTCTGATACTGTTGGAACAAGAGCTCAGCATTGCAGTCAGACACACAGGCCCTGGCTCTGTTACTGTGTGACTTGGCTGTAGTTCTAGTACTTTTTTGAGCTTCAGTTTCTTTATGTTTTCTAGGACAATATAGCTTACAGTATTAATTGAAAATTCATTGAGGTGATCTGTGTAATGCTCCTAAGCCCAAATGTTGTGGCTAGAAGTTTTCCTTCATTACATTCCCTTAGAAAACAAAGTGTGACATATAGGACCTCTCAGTTTTACCCAGTCTCCTCCAGTTTTGTTTTGTTTTTAATCTTCCTCCTTTATCCATTCTCCAACCAACTTCTTTGAATACTTGAAACAGGTTTTATATTTTCTTTTCTTTGAGATAGGGTCTCACTATGTAGTCCTGGCTGTTGTTCTTTAGTTACAATTATAAGAATAAAAGGTGGAGAAGGAGTGGTCCTGGGTGAGGGTCCCAAGTGAGTGGGGTCCCAAGGTAAGGAACCACGTGGGAGAGCATAGCAGGTTCCGTACAGGTGAGGGTGACCAATGCGGAGGGAATAACTTGCCAGGCAGATAGAGCTTGAATGAGGAGTTTAGAAAGGGGAGTGAGGGAGAAGGGAAGAGACATAGAGGCACCAGGAACAGAAGAGGAGAGAGAGAGAGAGAGAGAGAGAGAGAGAGAGAGAGAGAGAGAGAGAGAGAAAGAAGCAAAAGTAGGCAGGGATCTGACTTTTAAAGGGGTTCTTTACACCTGCCTGCAGACTAGTATTCATGGAACCCTGAGCTGAACAGAGTACTGCCTGAGTGCATTCTGCCAGGTGACAGGGTTAGGCCAGCATAATGCCTGAATCCTTATACTGGCTGTCCTGAATTTCACTCTGTAGATCAGGCTGGCTTTGAACTCAGAGATCCTCTTGCCTCTGCCTTCCAAGTGCTGGGACCAAAGGCAGTTTTGTATTTTCAGGCTTGGCTTTAACTTTTGCCTTGTTTGGCAATTTGATTTTTAAGTGCCAGATCATATATTACTTTATGTGAAATCTTTCCTTATTCTCCTTTCTATCACTATAGTATTTCCACATTATTAAAAGTTCACATTGTTTAATTTATACTATGATGTAGTTATATTTTTATGTGTATGTCTTCATAGTCCACTTAAACTTTATAAAATCCTTTGTATTAAAAATGTCTTCATTTCTGTACAAACTATTTCTGATGCATATAATTTTTATGTTGTGAAAAACATAGTGTGGACAATATACACAAAAAAGTTAACTAAGAGAATACATACTTAAAATACTTTATCCTCAATAGGACATCCAGTAAGTAAATAACTGTTGAATGAGTAAGCTGGCTCTATGACCTTTATAAATGACTCATATATATATAATAATATGGTCTATTCTTATTAAACTTGTCAGGAATTTGTAATTGACAGTCATTTATTACAGTTTAAAAGAACACCATTCCATGGCTCTGTCATTGACACTTCTCTAATGTAGATTTTGATTTATTAGTGTTGATTTTTAAAAGATGACCTGGATATTGATACATTTCAGTATATATATATATATATGTAGTTTTGTTGTTACTGTTATTGTTCTCATGCAGTTGAAAATGCCATGGACTGTCTATTAGAATTATCTGCTGCTGATGCCAAGATGGAAGAGTCACCTTCACAAACTTGTGTTGCTTGTGAGGACAGGCCAGGTGTGTCAGGAAATGCAGCAGTGGAGATGCGTCCTCCTGAAGACGACGGCGAGGATTCAAAACTGGATTCATTTTTGGATATGCAGCTAACTGAAGACTTGGATTCTTTAATACAGAATGCTTTTGAGAAATTGAACTCGTCTCCTGATGACCAAGTATATTCATTTTTGCCTTTGCAGGATGCTAAGAATTTTAATGACCCTTCTACCTTTATGAGTTCAGATTCAAATGGTATGACCCCTGTTCTTTCTGTACAGAATACAGGGTCAAATAGTGAAATTCTTCACAATTCTGCTGCTTCACCAGGTTCAAACCCACTGACTTCACAAAATTCAGTTTTGAGTGAGCCTGAAAGTTTCACAAAGGGTAGCACACTGCCATTAGAAGGTAGTTTCCCAGAAGGTCCACCTCTCAGTAACTCTTTAAATCCAACAAATGACTCTGCTCTAGGTTGTGGCAATTTTAGCCCAAGACAGAAAGATCTTTTAGAACCGGGGTGTCCTAGTGTACAACATTCTCAAACCCCTGTAGATCTGGGTACCAGTGAACCTCAGGTTCCTTCAAATCTTCCTCTGCAAAGTGCAGGTCGTGATTTACCAGGTACCACTGGGGATCAGAAATCTGCTTCTATGCCTGATGTTTTTGTACCCTCTGAAGGGTTCAGCTTCAAGCCACACAAACATCCTGAACTGCCACCAAAGGGGAAGGATATGAATTACTGCCCAGTTCTTACCCCTCTCCCTTTACTCCTTCCTCCTCCGCCACCTCCACCAATTTGGAACCCCATGATTCCTGCTTTTGACCTCTTTCAAGGAAATCATGGCTTTGTAGCACCTGTTGTAACCACAGCTGCACACTGGAGACCTGTCAACTACACATTTCCACCCTCCATGATCTCCCATACTTCCCCAACAAAAGTATGGAGAAACAGCGAGGGAACAAGTCCTTATCAAGTGCAAGAGGGCCCAGTGTCCCAGCCTGTGAGGAAGAAAACCACATCTTACGTTGGCTTAGTTCTCGTGCTTCTCAGAGGGCTGCCAGGCTCGGGGAAGTCCTTTCTGGCAAGGTATGAGGTTTTATTGACATTTAAAAAAAAAGTATTAATGCATGAATTTTTATAGCTAATGTGAATATACAGAACACTTTGCTTAACAGGTGGTTAATAACTCAAGTATTCTTTACTTTTTTTAAGATACATTTGCTTTTTCCTCCTGAATTTAAATTTATTTTTTGGTAGCCATAGGCTTTTCTCATTGATTTAATGTGTGTGTCTCTATTGAGATAGAGGGTCTTGTATCCCAGTCTGTTCTCAAGCTCACAGGTACTGTAGTCAAGCTCATGCCTCTAAACCCTTTGGGGCTGGGATTACAGGTGTGTGCCTTCATAGCTGATAGTGATAACAGGGATCAAACCCAGAACCCTGTGCATGGTAGGAAAGCATTCTACCAATTGAGCTACATCTCTAGCCTAAGTAATAGCAATATAAAGTAATTTAATGTTACTTGATATTTTATAATTATTACAATTTTATAAGTATTAATAGAAAGTTACAGCAGTTGTTTATGAAATTAATGGAATGAAGGTAATACTTTAAAAGGTGATAGATTGTAGACCTAGGTTTCAGAGTGAGGACAGAAGTTTTTGCCACAAAATAGGAGCTATATTGTTCATAGAAACAAGTGGGAGTACGGTCCATATCATTAAATTAGCATTAGCCTGTGACATGAGAAAAAAATTGGATGGAACAGCAAGGTTTTAGGATTTATTGGAAAGGTCATGGATAGATTTTTTAAAAATGTAATTTTATTATACTATAAGGGTAGAAGACAGAGGCTAAGAATTGATCCTGAAAGACAGAGAAGTTGAGAAAAGCTGAAGGGGATCCCACAGTGTGGTTTCACTTTTTTTCTCTTATATATGTATGTGTTTGTATAAGTTTGGGTCCATGTGTATTTGCAGGTACATGTGTGGAGGCACAGATTGATTTTGGGTGTCTTCCTCATTCCATTCTACCTTTTCCATTGAGTCAGGGTCTCTCAGTAGAACCCAGAGCTTGCTATAGCAAGTCTGGCTAGTGTCCTTGCTCCAGGTGTCTCTTGTCTCCATCTTCCAAGCACTGGAATTACTGGGAGGCTGCCATACCCACGAAACATTTGCCATAGGTCCTGGGCATCTGAACACACTTCCTACTTACATGACAAGTAGTTTATGCTTGTGCATTAACCATCATCTCTGCAGCCTGTGGTTACAGTTTTATTTATTTAGATAGCTCAGATGTGTGCATTTTTAAAAGAAAAAAAGCACCAGGTCATGCCTGCATCTCAGCACTTGAGATGTAAAGACTGCAAGACTAAGGGTTAAAAGTCACCCTTGGTTAGATAGTAAGTTTGAGGCTAGCCTGGACTGCACAGGTTCTGTTTCATAAAACAAAACCAAGTTGTATTTCTGAATAATTTGTATAAAACAAAGTAAGACCTGTCTTAGCTTAGTTTGATTTTGAAGTGTTGAACTTTTTGCTTAATTTCCAGTGTAATTTATTTGAATTTTATTGCTCCTTTAAATGTTATTACTTGGATTTTTATTTCAATTATCACTATTAAAGAAGAGAGAATGTTGGAAATAAAATTAATGAAACTAATCCCCTTTGTCATTCATAGGACTTTGCAAGAGGATAACCCAAGTGGAGTCATTCTTAGTACTGATGATTATTTTTATATAAACGGACAGTACCAGTTTGATGTAAAGTACTTAGGAGAAGCCCATGAATGGAACCAGAATCGAGGTAAGTGCAGGTCTACCTGTGTATAAAGAGAAAACTTTCTTTAGTACTGTTTTTTTTTTGAGAGATGTAGTTCTTTAAAGAACTTTGTTTACTTATGTTTTGTGGTACTTACACATGCCACACAAATGTGCTACCACTGAGCTATGGCCAATCAGAAGAGCCCTGAAGAATTTGTAGTTAGCCAGGTATAGTGGTGAATGCCTGCCTTTAATCCCAGCACTTCAGAGGCAGGGCCAGGTTTGAAACCAGCCTGGTCTACTCTACAGAGTGAATTCCAGGACAACTAGAGCTACACAGAGAAACCTTGTCTCTAAAAACAAACAAACAAAGAGTAATTCTCATGTTATACAATAAGAGGTGAATGAGAATTAAAAGTTAGGTTTTAGGGTACAAGGACATGTGTTCAATTCCCAGCTCCCACATAAAAGTCAGAGGTGATGTGTGCTTGTAATCTTAGTGCTAGGGAGGTAGGGACAAGGAGGGTCCTGGGGCTTGCTGGCCAGCCAGTCTATCCAGATTGGTGAGTTCCAGGTTTATTGAGAGACCCTGCCTCTAAAGTAAGGTGGAGAACCACCAAAGACAATACCTAAGTTGGGCAAGGTGGCACATGCTATTAATCTCAGCACCCAGCACAGGGAGGCAGAAGCAGGTGGTCTACATAGAGAGTTCCAGGATAGTCAGAGCTACATAGTCAGAGTTTGCAGAGTCTGGTCTACAGAGTGAGTTCCAAATCAGACTACAAAACTACACAGAAACCTTGTCTCAAATAACAAAAACAAACGACAACAAACGTATTTGGTCTTTTGAGACAGGGTCTCTATTATGTAGCTCTCAGTGTTCTGGAACTTGCCACTGATACAGTCTAGGGGTCTTGGTTGGATTTGTTTTGTCTGTCAAAGAATTAAAAAGGAGGAAAATCTGCAGTGCCACAGGCAGCAGCAGAGCACCTCAGGCACGCAACAGTTTAAGAAAGGCATTTTTTTTGGGCACACATATAACAACTGGCATTGTTAGTATTCAGGCATCTGCACTGGCTAGCCAGTGGGGTCCTCACAGGATAGGCCCTCAGCTGTTGCCACTAAGAGCCTATTCACTATGTTCCCTTTTAAAAGGACTTTGCCCACTTCCCATCCTCCTCCTCTGCCTTTCTCTCCCTCTTGTCTGTTTCTTCCTCTCTGTCTCTCTGCCTCTCTCCCTCCCTCTCCCTCTTTCCTCTCTCCTGCTACTGTCTCATGAGGCTGGTCTCTCCCTTCCACTTCTATTTTATGATCCCTTTTCCTAATAAAGCACCCCTCTGCTTGAACCCTGTTGCATGGCATTTTTCTCTCATGGGCTGTTTTTCTTAAATTACAGCAGGCATACATAGAAAAATACCCTCTGCAAAGCAGAGGGGGCACTGGAAGGAGAAAAACCCAGTCTCTTCTCCAGGGCTGGGATTTTCAAAGCCTCTGAAGAGTTTCCCTCTCCTAAGTTATGGTTGGCCAGTTTGAAGAAAGCTAGGATGGTTGGTTGGTTCAGAATTGTTGTGTGACCCAGGCATTGAACTGGTTGAGTCAGTTGTCAGTGGAGATCTATTGGTGGCAGACAAAAGGCTGTGTAGCCAGCCTTTGTTTTAAGCTGCTAGCTTTTGTCTCAACTCAGGAGGGTGAGGAAGAAGTTGGCCATCTTGGAAACTATTACCTAGCCATGGCCCTTCTCTCTGTTGTCTGCCTACCAGGGAACCTGACTCCTAGTCTGTTACCACCATGCTCACCCTGTATTTAATGTTATTAAAACAATGTCATTTTTTTGTATTGTATTTTTCAGCAAAAGAAGCATTTGAGAAGAAGGTATCTCCAGTAATCATAGATAATACAAACCTCCAGGCATGGGAAATGAAGCCATATGTTGCTTTGGTTTGTACCATAAGTTTGTAATATTGGGTTTGGAGTCATTGAGGGGATGTTAATCTCACAAGTGGGATCTCAAGCACTTGAGAATATCCTGGTTTGCCTTGAACTGAGTTTTCTTTGGTCTTCAGAGAAGAGAGACAGAGTTTCTCTGTAGCTTTGGAGCCTGTCCTGGAACTCACTCTGTAGACCAGACTGGTCTTGAACTCACAGAGATCCGCCTGCCTCTGCCTCCCGAGCACCAGGATTAAAGGTGTGTGCCACCAATGCCTGGTCTAAGGAAAAACTTTTAAAACTTTAAAAAAAATCTTGTGGTCACCCCCCTCCCCCAATAATTAGGAGAAATCAGGGAGTGTCTGGGTGGGTTAGACTATTCTTGAAAACAAATCAAGGTCATAGGTTGGGTAAGGTCAAGTTCCAGGAAACAGTCGCTAAAGTACTTTTTTTTTTTTTTTTTTTCTCGAGACAGGGTCTCTCTGTGTAGCCTTGGCTGTCCTGGAACTCATTCTGTAGACCAGGGTGGCCTCGTACTCATAGAGATTCACCTGCCTCTGCCTTCAGAGTGCTGGGATTAAAGGCCTTTTTTTTCCCCCCAAACAAAAGAGATCTGTTAAATAGCTGGTGCATGGAAAGTAGAATATGATGAGAGAAATAAGTGGATGGTATTTATAAATTATGGAATTAATTTAAAGGAAGAGAAAGATGAGCAATGTCTGAGAGAGGGAATTGCCCAAGTCTCTTCTTCCTGAGGAAGGTCTAGGTGCAGTGTAAAAGTGCTGTGGTTGATGGGTGTACTACAGCCATACTAGAGCTCTGAAACATGGAATAAGCAGCTGTTGGCAACAGGTTTTAATTATAACAATATTGAATGGAAATGAGGTTATTATTGCTCCATGGTATGGTTGAGGAGAAGGTTTCAGTGTAGATGATGAGGAAGAGAACAGTCAGAGGCGTCTGGAGGAGGAGTTCAGATTGAACATGGTCTCAAGACCAGAGCTATGAGGGAAGAGAGAGAAGAGGGGCCTGTAGTGGGATATTCACTTTGTCTCCTTCTGTGGCACTGACCACGCCCATGGGCGGAAAAACCATACACATTACAGGGGCCAAGAGAGTACATGGGAACCAAGAGTTCACCCAACCAAAATGGCTGAGTTAGATAGGAATTAGAAGCAAAGCCCAGCCTCTGGGTGGGAGAGGTTCAAGGTAGGGGTAGGGTGAGAAGTGCTGGGAGGAGCCACAGGTACTGAGTGAGACCTTTTCTAGTTTCTTTGGAACCTGACACGTGTGCATGTTTGATAAATACCCAAACTTCAAAACAATGCCTAAAGTTCCCTTTCCTAGAGAGAAGTATTTTTCAAAGTAATTTTTAAAGAATCTTCCCAGGTGTTTTCTGTGCATGTACAAATGTGTGAATAATTCTTTTTTTTCCCCAAGTAAAAATTGTCTTACTTTCTCATCAGTTTATTTTAAGGGATGTTTCTCATTTTCTCATTTAATAAAGAATTTTAAAAACGATGTTTTTGGGGGTTGGAGAGAGATGGCTCAGTGGTTAAGAGCACTTGACTGCTCTTCCAGATGGTAGCTTACAATCATCTGTAATGAGATCTGCTTCCCTCGTGAAATACATGAATAAGATAGTCTGTAAACCGCCACTTAGGAGCCAGAGACAGGTGGAGCTCTAAGTTCCAGGCCAGCCTGGTCTACAAAGTGAATTACAGGGCAGCCAGGACTACACAGAGAAACCCTGTCTTCAAAAAACAAAAGTTATTTTATGTTTATATCCTCATTTATTTATAAATACATATTAATAGTCTGACTTTTTTTGTTCTTTTGCTATTATAAATAATAGTGAACTAAAATATCTTGGTATACAAATACAAATATATCTATCCATGTTTGATCTACCTACCTCTATCAATAACAAAGTTTTGGAAATAAATTGCTGGCTCAAAGAGGTTGGATAAAATCCCATTTCTTCCTTATTCCAATTTATTTCAATTTTTAAATTTTGACCCACTTTAGTCTTCTAGGGTAGTCTCATAATTAGGTTTCCACTGCTGTGAAAAGACCATGGTAACTCTTTTAGAGGAAAACATTTAATTGAGGTGGTGGCTTATAATTCAGAAGTCCAGTCCCTTATCATGGCAGGGAGCATGGCTTTGTGCAGGCAGATGTGGTGAAAAAGCAGCTGAGAGTCCTACCTCTTGCAGGTAACAGGAAGTGAACCAAGACACTTGGTGGTATCTTAAGCATATATGAGACCTCAAAGCCTACCTTCACAGTGACATATTTCCTCCAAAGAGACCACACCTACTCCAACAAGGCCACACCTCCTAATAGTGCCTAACACTCTCTTTGGGGGCAATTTTCTTTCAACCACTAGGGCTGTAGAGTGAGCCAGGAGGCCTAGGAAGAGGATGAAAGTTTAGATATGACTCCTAGATTGAGTTTTCCATTTTTTGCCCTTCTTTTTGTGTTCTCTGATGTTTGCTAAGGAAAAAGTATTATGAATAAAATAGAAGATAGAAAGTAGTTCCAGCCTCAAGTGCTCCTGCTTCTTGCTCTTTCTTTGACTAGAATCTTCTACCTTGCAAAATGATTGTGTCCCCTTTCTCAGCTTGTAGTGATTCTTACAAGAGACAGAAACATTCAGTAAGAGCCAGATGTGGTGGTTAACAGTAATTCCAGCTTTTCTACAAAGCAAGTTCAAGGCCAGTCTAGGATACTTGAGACTTTATCTTAAAACAAACACCCCCAGAACAGTAGTAGCAGCAGCAGTGCAAACCCTCCCAATAATCTTTACCATTTCTCTGAGAGCACATAGATCCTTTTTTTAAAGATATATTTATGTGCACTGAGGTTTTGCCTGCATGTATGTCTGTGCAAGGATGCCAGATTCCCTGACAGCTGTTAGCTGCCACATGGGTGCTGAGAATTGAATCTGGGTCCTTTAGAAGAACAGCCAGTGCTCTCAATCACTGAGTCCCCCGCCCCCCCAACACCAGCAGATAGATTCTTGATCTGCTGATTGGGTCACCTGTGAAGGGCTTTCATTTTTAATGTGATAAAATTTGCAAACATTGCATTTATTGAAAAAATTATTTGCATTCCTTTTTGTCTTTTCTGTGTGTAGTCTCAGAAGCATAAATATAAGGTCCTTTTCCGGGAACCAGACACATGGTGGAAGTTCAAACCAAAAGAACTTGCAAGGTAAAACTTGGAGGTTTTCTGACATGGTTTTTTATTCCACAACAGTGATTGAAATTTTATCTAGATTTTTTTTTCTTGATAAATGATGAGTGAAACAACTGATTAGATTTTTGACTTGCCCATTTAAAAATTGGTAACATTTTATATTGTTGTATATTTTATCTCATTTAAAAATAATTATTTTAAAAATGCTTATGTGTATGTGTACATGTGTATAAATGAGTGCAGGCTCACATGTCATGTCACTTGTGTGAAGGTCAGAGGAGAGAACTTTTTGGGGTCACTTCTCTTCTGCCCAAGGGATTAGACTCATATCATCAGGCAAGTGCCTGTGCCCACTGAGCCACCTTGCTGGCCTTATCCCTAGTTTTATGAAAAGTTGGGGGATTTATAATACATGGCCAAGAAATTTCCAGTTGTTTTATATGTTAGTTATACGCTAATATTTAAAACTAGAACAGACCCTGGTGCTTGGTACACTTGAGCCATGTACTTGGAGCTTCTAGAATACCGGAAACTGGGAGGGAAAGATAGCAGGTACTTCTGTTTCCTACCTTTACTTTTTATTTGATTGCTTGTCTTGAATTAAAAAAATGTTGTTTAAGAGAAGACCATTTGTTGGTCTTGGTGGTGTATATCTTTAATTCCAGCACTGGGGATACCGAGATAGATGGGTCTCTGTGAATTCAGGCAAATTCCAGGCCAGCCTGGTTTACATAGCGAGCCCCAGGACAGCTAGGGCTATCTACTCAGAGAAACCCTGTCTCAAAAAACAAATGTTTCCTCTTAGTTGGAATTTCCACTATTCTATCAGTACCTGGTGGCTCTGCAAATGCATACATACATCTGCTTACCCCTGGACCTCCTGAGTTCTGGGGTTTTGAGACCTGTGTCACCACAACCAGTCCCAATGATCACTTATTAAATGTTCCATACTTGCTTAATGAGCATATGTATTGGAGCTTGTGAAAGGGTTCAGTAAGCAAAGGCACCTGCTACCAAGCTGGAGGACTTGAGTTTGATCCTCAGGGTTCACATGGTGAAAGGAGAGAACCAACTCCTGTGAATTGTCCTCTGACCTCCACATGCATGCTGTGGCATGTCCACACTCATACACATACAACACACACATGCATATAAAACCCCACCATGTACTGGTTATGTTGTGTTAATATGGTCTCTAGTCATACTTAGCAATTCTACTGTCTAGTGTGTTCTATAGCTTTCTGTGTTTGCTTTTCTTTTGGTTATTCTTGTGGGGTAGTTTCTGTTGATGGATGGTGAACTCTTCCAGTGTGAGATAGTATGTTGAAAATTACCTCTGTTAAATTGCCCATCAGTTTCTCTCTGTTGACCCACCTGTGTTTGCTTTATATATTTGGAGGGTGGTAGTTGAAATTCCCAAGAGCTTATAATTTTTGACGGTACTCTAATTAAGTGGACTTTATCCCTTTCCAATGATTTTTCTTTTGTCTTTAAGAATAATTTTTGCTGTGAAGTCTGGTTTGTCAAATTAATAGAATTGTACCAGCATCCTTTTAGTTAATATTTGAGAATTTTTCTCTTTTCATACTTTTACTTTCAATGTTTTAATATCCTTAATGCTTATGTATTTATGTACCTACTGTGGCTGGTTTTTAAATTTTTTTCCTGTCTACTTTGGCTTTTTCTTATGTGTGTGTGGCGGGGGCGGTGCAGGGGTTTGGAGGTGGTCTTTTGTAGCCCAGGCTAGCCTTGAACTCATGATCCTCCTGCCTCCACCTGTCAAGTGTTAGAATTTCAGGCAAACACCATAGTGCTCAGTCCCATCTTCGCTTCAAATGATGAAGCAGCTCTTTTATGGGTGTTTGTTAGTCATGCATTTAGCCACCTTCTGTTTATCTTTTCTATGATTGTTGTTTGTTTTGTTTTGTTTTGTTTTTTGAGACAAGGCCTCACTGTGTAGCCTTGGCTGTCCTGGAACTGACTCTGTAGACCATGCTGTCCTCAAACTCACAGAGATCTGTCTGCCAAGTGATGGGATTAAAGCATGTGCAACACCATGCCTGGCTTCTATGAAAATAAATTATATATATATATATATATATATATATATATATATATATATAGTTTCTCTCATCATGTTTTTGAAATTTAAGTTCGTTTTCTTCTATAGTAGTTTCTAAATTATATATGCTTTGTTGATTTTTTTTTAGTGACTACTTTACATGTTCACTATGCAGAACTCAAGTCTAAGTTAAATCATTCTTGGCTGTGCTGCTCACAAACACAAGGGCTTTAAAACAGCTTCCCTGTGATAGGCCCCGTCAACTTCCATGAGTGTTTGTTTTTGTTCAAGTGTTCCCTTTGTGCTCCATTTTCTCAGTGCAGCAAAGATCTTTCTTCAGTCTGAGAGTTTGTCTGCCTGGTGTTTACCTTTAAACTTTTCTTTACAGTAAGGGTCTGTTTGTGTGAAACTATTGCTTTTTAAATTTTCATTTGAAAAACTTTTTGTCATCTTCCTTCCTCTAAGACACTTACTGTACGTATTCTGGGATGTTAGCTAGTGTCTGTTATTGAAGGTAATAATATGTTTTATTTCTATTACTGTTGTTAAGTCTTCTCATTCTATTCATATGACTGGCCTTTTTTTTTTTTTAACTTTTAGCTTAATGTCATCTCTTTCTTTGGTGTTTGACAATTTCTGCATATGTTTCTAGTTATGGATTTCTTATACTGTTATCTTGTTTGACTTCTGAAATCAGGACATTGTATCATTCATCAGTTCTAGAAAAATCTCAGCATTTATCTTTAAATTGCTTTTGTTCATCCCACTCCTCTCTTCTTCAGACTTGAATCAGTAGTATACGAGACCAGTTTTTTGCTCTGGCCTCTATGTCTATGTTTCTTAACCTCTCTCATATTTTCTATCTCTTTGCTTCTCTGTGATATGAAACCAGACAAGATCGAGGTAGGTAAATATGAAAGCCAGAATTACTCAAGAGGCAAACACTAATATTAGTCTTAAGTCTTGACCATGTTAAGAGAGTTAACAACTGAGGTGTTTTCATTAAGAAACCAACCCAAGAGGGACTAAAGCATAACACCCAACCTCCTGGCAGTGCAAGTTCAGAAAGATCCTTAGTCTGAGACCTAAGGACTCCCGTGTTAGGGTTAACTAACTGCAAGTTCATTAACAAAACCACACAAGGAAGTGAGTAAGACTGGAAACACAAATAATAAACTTTATATTTGGGCATCCAGAGATAATATCTTAGAAATTTAAAAATATTGTTTGAACTGAAAATGTAATAAAATGTGTTTGTTTTGATTTAGCTAGGATCTGGTTTTATTATAAGAAGAAGGCACTTTGGGACATTTACTCAGTCACTAAAGTAGGATACTTATTGCTCATAGTTAATTAAAACCTTTGAAATGACAGTCATTGTTTTATGAGCTTCTTCAAACATTTATTTATTAGTTATTGCAGAACTTTAGAACAACTTCTTTTAAGGTTATTGAAGTCTTTCTTTTTTTGTCCTGAATTAGTAAAGGACATCTGGGAAAAATTGTGTAGGATGATTGATAAAATGGCAATTCAAGAGAGCTTGACCATGCTGGGTGTGGTGGTGGGATCCCAACATCCAAAAATCTGAGGCAGGAGGATCCCAAGTTTCAGGTCAGCAGCCCAGGCTTCATAGCAAGACCACATCTTAAAACAAATGCAAACAAACCTCTGGAAACAAAATGAGACAAAAATGAAATTAGCACTAGAGAATATGTATTATGTAAAAACCAGTTCTGCAGTCCTTACATAATCACACATTAGAATATGTTATTAATGGTGCTAGGGATATAGCTCAGTGGTCAAGTGTTTACCTTGAATGCCCTGGACCCTGAGTTCAATCCCCAGTGCCGAATACAAAGATAAGAACGTACTATTCTTCTGGACTTTGTTTTGTCCCCCCCCCCCCTTGGTTGCCTGTAACATTCTTCCCACTTTTCTGTTCCCTGGCATTTTCAGGCGTAACATTCATGGAGTAAGCAAAGAGAAAATAGCCAGAATGCTGGAGCACTACCAACGTTTTGTGTCGGTGCCGATAATAATGAGTTCCTCAGATCCTGAGAGAATGGAGCGGATTGAGTTGTGTGCGTACTCTTGTGAGGACAGAAGTGCTAGGTAGGTTAAAGTATGTTATGTACAAAACATTGAGTTTGAAGCTATGTTTTGTTTTTAATGATAATTTCGAAGACTTTTGAAATTACTTCTATTTGCATGTATCATCTAGAGTCAGCTGAGGATGTTAGCAAGAGAAGTAAAAATTCATGTGAAAGATGAGAGTATTTTCTCTCTGAGCTTGTGAGTCTGTGGTTATATGAATACACCTCTTTTTTATTTTAGTATTTCCCTTTTTCTCTTCGTTGCTATTTCATAGCTCTAATTTTGCTATTATTATGAATTGCAATGTAAGAAAATTGTGTTTTCTGATGGTCTTAGGTGACCTGTAGGAAAGGGTATTTGATTCCCCCAAAGGGGTCATGACCCACAGGTTGAGAAACAATTCTGTAAATAAAGGTTCCTTTGTAATAAATGACAGATGGACCTAGAGGTAGGTCTTTATGCTGTAGCCTGTGCTAAGCTATGAATGTGAAAGAAGCCAGCATGGTAATATCCTCTTAGGTGAGCACATTTAGAACCTTCGTTGGGATAGTCAACACATAGCACTGTGACTGACAACTTGAGGGTCCTGTTCCACTCAGTTTGCATTGTGTGTGCTGCACAGAATGCCATGTGTTGGTCTTAGAAGGAAAGGTTGTGGTTTTGGTATTTTAGGGAAAGGTAAGATTAGCTCCTGAACATTTCTTCCATTAGTCTGGGGATTGAACTCCAGGACTGGCCCCACACTTGTGGGGCTGGTACCCTGCCTCTGAACTATACTACTCACTTACATCCCCATCCCAGGCTTTATAACTTTCATGTAATTTATTTTTGAATAATTAGAATAAATGCTAAATGTTTCTTTAGTTTAAATCACAGTATTAATGGTACTGTGAAAAGACTTCTTACCACACTTCAAAAAATGTCTTGTAGCCCAAGAGACAACGAAGTTGTTACCTCTGAAAAAGAAGAAAATGTGTTACCCACATCTTCGAAGCACTTAGAGTTAATTGAGGAGAAGACACTTGACATGGCCAAAGAAGCAGTGTTCCCAGAGAGTGCTACTCCTATCCCTCGTGCAGGTTTAGACAGAGGAAGAAAGGAAATGAGTGCTGTGGGTCACAGTGTACACAGCCCCTTCTTGCGGGAAGCCCCAAACACCTGTTTTCCTCACTCTGAATGCAGAGGTCAAGCCACAGACAAGAGTGAGAAAGAGCAAGACACACTAGTGTCTAAAGAGCATGCTGAAGCAGATGCTTGGAGTCGAACAGATGGAGCATCATCAGGTAGTTACTGTGCTGAGAATAATCAAGAAGCCAGTGAGCTTGCAAGTGCTGGGACAGGGACACTTCAAAGTGGAAATCCCTCACCTCCTGAAATACTGGAAGAAAGAACAACAGGAAAGAAAAAGACCATTGGAAAACAAAAAAGCAAATCATCTTTGGAAAAGTTTCCAAAACATGAGCCATCAAATTTTGTTGGTGACTGGCCAGTTGATAAGACAATTAGCCAGAGGACCAAAAGGAACCGGAAAACTGAAAAAGGTTTATCTGTACAAAATGACAAAAAATGTAATCGCCCTCAGTCGCACAAAGTGTTAGATACTAGGGTGTCTGTGAATACAGATCATATCCAGCAGCGAGGATCTCCACATGGGAATGATGGTCTTTCAGAAGTGTCCAGTAGCTGTCAGTATGATACTTTTGAAAGTACTGAGCAAACCTCATTCAGCCTTGTGGGTGACTGGCCCTCATCTGCTTCTTTAGCTCAGAGAGAGCACAGATCAAGAATACAAAAAGCTGGCTTAAATGAACCCAACTTAGAATTTGGAACTAATGACAACATGGGTGAAATACCTTTGTATCCCACACATGAGGCCTATTGGGGCACAAGCCCCGAAGAATTGAAATCTCTGGGTTCTACCCTTCGAAGATCTGAGATGCTGCCTCATAAAACAACTCATGAGAATCAGACTTCCCTGAGTAAAATGGTTCCAAGCCAGCACACACTGCCTCTTCCCTTTTCCAGTAGTGCAGCAGCTCTTCCTGGAGTTGTGGGACCTCAGTCTCTAGCAGTGGGAGTGTGTGGGGTTGTCTCTGGGGTAGACACAAGTACATGTGCCCAGACTGAGCCCCAAGATTTTGCTCTCTTGTGGAAACTAGAAAAGAATAAAATCAGTGTTTCAGATTCTGTCAGAGTGCTAACAGGAAAGTTAGATGGGTTTAAGCCAAAAGATTTTCCTGTTGATACCAAATTAAATGTTCAAGAAGCAATTCCATACAGAGTAATGCATGATAAAAGTACATATGTGGAAGAGAGTGAGCTTACCAGTGCCGACGAGTCTGAGAATCTTAACATCCTTTGTAAACTATTTGGATCATTTTCCCTAGAAGCCCTGAAAGACTTATATGAGAGATGTAATAAAGATATTATTTGGGCCACAAGCCTTTTGTTGGATTCTGAGACAAAATTATGTGAGGATACTGAGGTTGAGAATCCCCCCAAATCCTATGATGAGTCACAAGTTGGGCCATTTTCTATGGGGTTAGATTTGAAGGAAATTATTAGCCACAAAGGAACCTCAGAAAATTCTAACTCTTGTGTGTCAGAGTTTAATACTGGCGTTGGTGTCAGGAACACTAATGCACAGTCTGGTGGTGGTGCAGAAAAGGGGAGAGCAAAGCAGGAAGAGATAAGAGCTGTAAATCCTGGAAACCCCGAATTAATAACCAGAATATTTCCCAATGCTGCTGTCAATGCAAAGAATAGTAATGAAATATTTCCTAACAGTCGTGCTGAATTGTCAGGTGCGTACAGCTGTAAGCGGTCTCTTCCACCTACTCCAAAATCTAATGTTCTTAAAGATGTCAGTGAAGTAGAAAAGAATCTAGTAGCCACAGAGACTAGAGGCAGTATTCATTCTTTTTTAAATTTATCTGATATTATAAACTCTGCAAGGAGCACTTCAAATCCTGAATTAAATGAAGGAGTTTATCTTACTGGCTCTTTGGAAGCAAAGAAAAATGAAAATCTTCCTGCGGATTTTGTGAAATTTGGAGACTTGGAAGAATTTATCAGTGATGATAAACGGGAAATGGAGAAAATTCTGATGCCAGGAACTAGTTTGTCAGCTGGAGTTAGTGAAGAGGATAAAACTGAGGTAGTGAATCCCACACCAGTGATGGCCAAATCTCTGACCATAGACTGTCTGGAGTTGGCATTACCCCCTGAGCTGGCTTTCCAACTTAATGAATTATTTGGCCCAGTTGGTATTGATTCAGGTAAGGAAAAAGTAAATTATTTGTGTGTGTGTTTGTGTGTAAATAAACAGTATATAGAAGTTTGTTTCAGTTGAAACTATTTCATTGGCTGAATTTGTCAGTAATTTATGTCACATAATTTTACACAGTAACTTATTTTTGACATGACATGTTTTAAAGGATTTAAAACAATTTGAAGTGGAGAATATTTATATAGAATTTTATATCTATGAATATGTTGAAAGTTTTCTCTAGTATTTGCCTCACATTTATTTGCAAAAGTGAACTTTGTGTCTTTTGGCGTTATTTCAGATATATTTAAAGGCAGGAAGTAATTTCCTAGAACACAGTTATTGAAAGTCTTAAAGGATTGTACTGTTGTTGAGGCATGGAAATGTGAGCAACTTAAATAAATTGGTATGAAGCTTTGCATGTTGACCCAACTTGTACAAAAAACAATGACATAGAACATGAAAACATTTCAAGTAAATAGAACTGTGTTAGGGATTAATGACAACATTGAATATTATGCATTTTCTGCAAATGTTTGATGAGTAATGATTATATTTTTCTTCTTTTTCTTCCCTTCACAAGGGTCTTTAACAGTTGAGGATTGTGTGGTTCATATAGATCTGAATCTGGCTAAAGTGATTCATGAGAAATGGAGAGACTCTGTAATGGTTGGTAACTTCCTTGTATGAAGAACTCCCTGAATTTGTTTTACACGTATCCACATGCAGACGTACATACATGCACGAAATTTTAAAAAAATGGTGAAAATAAATCCTAAAAAATAGAGCTTTGTAAGTGGACACACACACACACACACACACACACACACACACACACACACACACACACACACACGTAGCTATTCTTGGTAATTTCATTTATATAGTTTCATTGTTTTAATTTTCATAATGATTTAGAGTTCACAAGAAGAACTGATTTCTAGAGAAAGCTGCTTTGTTTCCCACTGCACTGTTCTTTGCTAACCTTTGCTCTGCCTTTGTGTTTAGGAGCGACAGAGACAGGAGGAGGTGTCTTGTGGCAAGTGTGTGCAAGGTAAATAAAGTACATATTCTGACTTTGTCTTGATATTGAAACCTGTGCAGTGTGCTCTTTGTTTTGTTTTGTTTTTTTGAGAAAGGGCTTCTCTGTGCAGCTCTCGCTGTCCTGAAACTCACTCTATAGACCAGGCTGGCCTTGAACTCATAGATCCACCTGCCTCTGCCTCCTGAGTGCTGGGTTTAAAAGTGTGTGCCACTACCTCTGGCTGGAGTGAGCCTGTCTTAATACATTTCAAATATGAGTTTTTCTGTTTTGATTTGCAAATGAAAAAAATACTCCCCCTTTTAAAAAAAAAAACTTGTCTTTTATGTGTTTATTTATTGAGACAGTCTTATTCTATAGCTAGGGCTGGTCTGAATTCACAATGCTTCCTTCTTAGCCTTTTGATTTCTGGGATCATACCATGCCCAGCTACAAATAAAGTTTCTCTCAAAAAATTTTTCACATTGAATCTTGATGCAGAGTAGAAATATAGAGAAACTAAGGCTGTGCACTGTATTTTGTCATGACTGGGGTGAAGTGTCTCAAGTGAACAAAGCTATACATGCTGTCAAAGTGCTCTGTATCGAGAAAAACTAATTGGGTTCATTTTCTTGATAGTATTGTAGAATTATTTCTTGGCTATTCAAATCCTTATTGATACCAGAGTACAAAGGTAAACCTGTTCTTTTAGTAAATCCTGCCAACTTGGAGGTCCTTGATTCCAGATGACTTCTTAAACAGTACTGTCACACTGGTTTCTGTCATGGCAGACCTATGGAGAAAGAGCACTGTTAGTACTTCTTTGTCTATTCCACACTGTAACCAAGGCAAAGAAGTTCAGGGTGAGGGTTCCTGGGCTCGTGTAGGTTCAAGAGAGAAAACTGGCCACTCACCTAGAAGTATGCTGGCAGCACTTGTAAATATTGATGGACTTTAAAAAGTGAAAGAAAGACTTAAGGTTTGGTCCATTGGGGTGGGGAGTGGGTCTGGGAGGAGATGGGGAAGGGGATGAATATGATCAAAACAATGGGTGAAATTTTCAAAGAATTAATACAAATAATTAAAAAGAGAGATAAAGCTGGCTGAGGGTAGAAGTGACTGGACTATATTATGGGTATATAAATGCAAGTAGCTATAGTGTCTGCCATTTCTTCACTCCCCACTGAGACAGGACTAGGTCAGAAATGTGTCTGTACCACTTAGAGATGTTGAAGTGTTGCAAGTTAACTCCTATCAATGTGAACTCTGTGGTTTGGTCTTTGTTTTCAATATAATTTGCTCAGTATTTATAGTATGCTTCTGGTCTGTTACTATTTGTCAGTATGCTAATCTTCTCAGTTCGAGGAACAGTAGAGCAGGGCTAAGCAGGGCTCTCCCAGTTGCTCACTACCCAGCATTGATTGACTAGCTTTTGTTGGAGGAGAAGAGGGGAAGGAGGGAAGGAGGGAGTCAAAGAGATAGGGGAAAGAGTGGGAAGCATTGAACTGATTTATAGTTACACCTAGGTCACTGCCCATTTGAAATATTCCTGTATTATTTCTTGCTTGTAGTTATGTGAAGGTTTATTTTGAAACTTTAAAGTCATACTATATTTACAAGCTGAAAAGGATTTTAAAATCCCACGTTTTCTTTCCTCTCTTAAGAATTTGTACATCAGTTGCTGAATATGTGACATTACTGTTTCATTCTTGTAGATCCTTCGCTGGCTGGACCTGCTGTTCTTGATAATTCTGAACAAAAATCATCTCAGAAAGCAGGCAAAAAATTATTGAAGACTTTAGTGGCACCTGAGACATTGGATCCTTGGAACACTCAAACAAAAAAAGTTTCACTGAGAGAAATAATGTCAGAAGAAATCGCCTTACAGGAAAAACATGATTTGGTATGGGTTGACACAGCTACTAATCTGTGGTCTCTGACTGCAGGTTGTTTAGTGTGATTTTCATTTAATTTTGTCTCCTGATCTGGACTTCATGTTTAACCTGTCTGAAGTTGATATTAAAACTGAAAATGTTTTAAATATAATGTGGTTGAGGCTTTGCTTATAGCTGTGTGGTATTCTGACATACATAGGTCATGTGTGTCTTTTGGTTCAGTGTACTTATTTGAAGCCATTGGTAAATTTGATTTCTTTCAATTTCTTTTCACATTTTGAAAGTGACCACTAAAGCATTTAAAAATTAAGTGACTTCCTCTAGTTACTGGAAAAGAGATCCTTAAGTGGCCACCAAGGTGCTTTATACTTGACTGTGTATGACTCACAGTCACCTTTTTTATTTGGCTACAGCGCACAGAATTAGGTGTAGGAGGAGCGAGGGTTCTTCAAACTTACTTTCCCCTTGTTATTTTCATGATTAAGTTTCTGTACCCCTATATAAAATAGCTTCAAGTAGTATCTTAGAATTTTGCTTCAGTTTCAGTGATCCTTCTTAATTCAAATGTAGTAACCTGGAGAAATGGAGTCTCCTGAAAGAAATAGGAAAATCTGACTTTAGGCTTGAATAGTGTAATAGTTTTGCTGTTTCTATCACTGAAACTTATCTTTTATCTTTTGTTTCTGACCTGCCTTATAATCTCAGTAGTAGTTAATAAATGTCTTTTGACTTTACAATTTAATGCCTTTGCTTTTTTTTTTTTTTTTTTTTTTTTTTTTTTGGAAACAAATTGGGTAATAGAAAGTAGACAAGAGCTTGGTGGCCCTGGCACACACCTTTAATCCCAGTGCTCAGGAGGCAGAGACAAGCGTATTTCTGTGAATTTGAGGCTAGCATGATCTACAAAGCTAGTTCCAGGACAGCCAGGGCAACACAGGAAAACCATTTTGAAAAACAACAACAACAACAAAAGTAAAGAAAAAGAAAGTAGGCAACTTGGTTCAAAGAATACTCTTTTTAAAAAAAAAAAAAAAAAGAAATAATTCTGTTGGCCTGTTACTAGCATTTTTTATTGGCTTGCTTTGTCTTAAATATTAACCCATTTCTATTAATCTAAGTATTTCCACGTGGTCTTATCGGAGAGAGAGCCTGGACCTCTGTTCTCTCAAGTCTCGATATTGTGACTCCCAAAGAATACTCTTTAAGAATCCTCATATTAAATGACGCCTCCTCAGTAAGAGAATTTGGTGTTTCCTTTTCACTGTTCCTGAAGGAGAAAATACACTTCGGTATGTCCCTGGAAGAAAGAAATAGGAAGCAAACTTCACATATACTAATGTCTAAAGCAGGAGCATTAATTGTATGATGATAAGAACTTATAGAGTTCATCAATGTTAGAAATCTTAGTTTAGAAACACGATGGCTATTATAAGTTCACCAGGAACTTAATAACCTTGAGGACATTTTTGGGTGGGAAGGGGTATGTGTAAATTCATGCTATAGAGCATATGTGAAATATTTTAATTCTTTGGTTTTTTTTTTTTTTTATCATTTTTATTACTACTTTTTGGTTTTTTGAGACAGGGTTTCTCTGTGTAGCTCTGGCTATCCTGGTGCTTGATCTGTAGACCAGGCTGACCTCAAACTCAAGAGATCCACCTGCCTCTGCCTTCAGAGTGCTGGGATTAAAGGTGTGTGCTGCTATTGCCTGGCTACTTTAAGAATCTTTGTCATGATCTTAATTTAGAATATGAAAAGACTCGGGGACTAGGGAGATGGCTCAGTGAGTAAGAAAGCTTGCTGCTAAGCATGAATGCTTGAGTTCAAATTCCCCAACACCATCATAAAAAGTTTTTTAAAAACTGGGTGTACCAGGACCTGAGCTGTTGGTGGTGGAGACAGGAAGATGATGTGGAGAGCCTGTCTTAACAGAAGTAGGTAGGATGTGCAGGGAGCGTGCAGTGCACTGCACAGATGGGCTGGGTAGACAGACAAAGGATGGATTTTCAGAAAAATCATTTAGGCTGACAGTTTTACTTTATTTACTTTTTACTTAAATTTCACTTTTTGTGCTAGAACCTCAACATATAGCCCAGGGTGTCGTTGAACTCCCACCTTTCTTTCTTAAACGCCCAGCATTATAGGTGTATGCACTCTGCCTGGCTGGAGTAGTAGTTCTGAATAGGCAGCTTTATGGATTGTGAAAGTTATTAATACTCACATAGTTATTTTTGAGTAAGTGTATTTGTGAAAACATTTGAAGTAATTTTGAGTTATAAGGTTTTCTGTCAACCTGAATTTATAATGTTTATACATTGTAGTTCCTGCCCATTGAGGGGATTCACAGCATCACACACTGTCCTGTAATGAGGACTTAGGAGAGACATTTCCCTCAGTTTCAGTACCAGAAAAACTGTACTTCTGAGCAATTGGCTTGTTTTAAATTTATGGACACTGAGAGTACTTCTTTCCCTTTGCTTTGGCCACTAAGGGGGCTCATCTAAACTTGTAGCAACTGTTCAGAATTTTGTGGCATAGATTTACATTCTAATTTTACTTGCTAGCTTTATCTTATATTCTTTCCTTTATTTTCTCTAATCTTTGACTTCATTTATTTGTATCTTGTTTTTTAATGTATAGTTGCATTGATAACGATGAATAATGTCTCAAATAAAGCTTCATTAGTTGAAAGTTGTATGAATATCATAGTGTATTTACACCAGCCTTGTAATGGCTTGCTGCACACTCAGGCTGTATGATGCAGTATATACCAGTATGTGTGTAGGTCCTCATTTACTGAGGCATTATTATGTGGTTCGTGACTGTGAAGCTTCATCCTTGTTATACAGTATATTAGACTTCATTGGGTTTGTGTGTGTGTGTGTATGTTTATATATTCACATACATAATATATGTGTGTGTGTATATATGTGGTTATAAGTATTTATGAACACCTTCAAATGCTTGGCAAAAATGTGTTATAAATATATAGTATAAGAATACTTATATTACTAACCTCAGCCTTGATCAGTGAGGAAAGTCTATGATTTCTTATAAATCATTGGTCTTTTTGCAACAAAAAAATTAGGCTTTGGTTTAGTATTGTCTGGCTTACGAATTTCATTTTAAGGGTGATTTTTTTTTTCTTTTCTGTTTTTTAGAAAAGGGAGACACTTATGTTTGAAAAAGACTGTGCCACTAAACTAAAGGAGAAGCAGCTCTTTAAAATATTCCCAGCCATTAACCAAAATTTCCTGGTGGACATTTTTAAAGATCACAAGTGAGTGCTAGAAGAACTGGTTGTGATTTTTACTCTACTACTGGAAGTATGTCCCAAACAGTCTCTGATTGAATACACTATAAATAATTAAGTTTAAATTTAATGTACATAATACAGAAAGCATAAATTTCTAGCCATTTGTATTCCTTGTTATTTTTTTCTTTTTGTTACCTTTTCACCATGAGAGTCCTGCCCAGGTAACGTGGGGTTGAGGGGCAGGCAGTGCTTTGCTTCCATTTTAAACTAGAACCTCAAGCTGTTAAGTGTAGTTTGTTACAATGTTGGCATGGAGGTGTTTTATCTGTGTTTGATTTTGGTAGGAGATAATTTATATATAGATCCCAAAAAGATTTATGGAAGATGATGCAATTAAAAGAAACCATGCAGCTAATGTTCCTCAAATAAGACCAGGATCTCATCATATAGACTACAGGCATGCTACAGGTTCTAAATTTTGATTTTTATTTTGTTCTGTTTTTTTTTTTTTTTTGTTTGTTTGTTTGTTTTTTTGAGTCAGGGTTTCTCTGTGTTGTCCTGGCTGTCCTGGAACTCGTTCTGTAGATCAGGCTGGCCTCTAACAGAGATTCACCTGCCTCTGCCTCCCAAGGGCTGGGATTAAAGGCCTGGCAATGCCACAAGTTCTAGACCAACAAGGGCTATGTAGCCTGACTCCAAAATAAATAATAAAAGAAATTAGGAATTGGGTTATCTGTGTTATCTCTTATTACTTTGGTATCTCATTTTTTTTTTTTTTTTTTTAAATCAACTAATAGCCTCATGTGTCCCAGGCTGCCTTAAACTTGTTGTGTTGCTAAGGTACCTTTTTGCCTCGAGCTAGGATTACAGGCATCTGCCATCAAGGCCAGTTCTATACAGTTCTGGGAATCAAACCCAGATGTATGTTAGACAAGTGTTCTACCAACTGGGCCACATCCCCTGCCCTGTTAATTTTGACTGGCATATGAACACAGAAGTGCATATTAACAAGTCACACAATGCTGTGCTGTATGTACACATTGTGTTTTATTAGGTTAAACATACTTTTTCCAAACCCCTGAATTTTTTTTACTCACTCACTCATTCATTCATTCATTCATTCATTCATTCAGTGTGTAAGTAGTAAGGTGGAAGTGTGGAGGTCAGAAGACAAGTGTGAGACTTGGCTCTTCCTTTACAGCATGTGGAACCTGAGGATCAAACTCAGGGCCTCAAGTGTGGCAGCAAGAATCTTCATCTGTTGAGCTGTTGTACCTGCCCATCATCATCATTATTACCAATTATTAAAATCTTTCAAAGTCTTAGACTAGAGAGATGCTAGAGTGGTGAAGGGCAATGGCTGCATGTTGAAGGACCAATGGCTTACAGTTGTCAGTAACTCCAGTTCCAGGAGACCTGATGCCTTTTTCTGGCCTCCTCAGGTTCCAGGCATGCATGGGGTACATAGACACACATGCAGGTGAAACATACAGACACATAAAATAAAATAGATCCTTAGTATTATTCTTTTTTAAAAAACAGTTGTCTGTGTTTGTTTGTTTTTTGACAGCATTAGGGAGGCAGAGGCAGGCAGATCTCTTGTGAATTCAGTCTAGCTTGGTCTTTTTTGAAGTAAATTCAAAAGCAGCCAGGGCTATATTGTGAGACCTATCTTAAAAAGAAAAGAAAACAAAAAACAAAACCAGAAAACCAGAAAACCAGAAAAACAAATGGGACCCAATTTCCTACTATTTTTCCTGAGATTTCCCAGAGGTCGTTCTTGAAGCTTCAGGTACATTGTTTCAATATTAAAAACTTAAAATAAATTGGGCAGTGGTGGCCCAGCACTTTAGTCCCAGCACTCAGGAGGCAGAGGCAGGTGGATATCCGTGAGTTCAAGGCCAGCTTGGTCTATAGAGTGAGTTCCAGCACAGCCCGAGCTGTTAGGCAGAGAAACCCTGTCTTGAAAAGACAAACAAAACAAAACAAACAAAAACACCCAAAAACTTAAAATAAGCCAATTTATTACACTTGAAAGAATTTTTTTTATGAATTTGCCTGTTTGCCCACATGTATGTATGTTTGCCCTATGCATGCCTAGTGCTCACAGAAGGCGGAAGGGGGCATTAGATCTGGAACATCGGTTACACACTGTTGGCAAAACCTGGGTTCTCTGCATAAGCAACAACTGCTCTTAATCACTGAGCCATCTCTCCAGCCCGTTTTTCATAGTCTTAGGAATTGCTTGGATTTATGCTACAGAACTTTCATTTTCTGTTATAAACGTTGTATTTAAACAGCTATTCCCTGGAACACACGGTACAGTTTCTAAACTGTGTTCTTGAAGGAGACCCTGTGAAAACAGTTGTAGCTCAAGAATGTGTTCATCAAAATGAGAATATCACTTCTCATGCTGCTCTGAAATCGAAAGAGAAAAAGGTATGGAGTGATTTGAACTTTTACTCTGTTGGCAAATAAATGTTTTTAATAGTATAATAGTATAATATTTTGGTGATTATTTTTCACCATGATCTATGTACTCCAAAGAATGAATTATGTTTTTGTGTAATATTTATTGATGTACATGATAAGCACTTAAATTCTGTAGATACTGTGTAGACTTTCTTAGGTAGACACACAGAGTATGAGGCATAATTGAGTATCAATGATTTTTATTGTATCATAGATCTTAGAATCTAAATATGTGGTCATAAATATTTAACCTTGAATGCCAGTCTATTTCCTAAGTGGTTCTCTATTTTACCTTGAAATTGTTTTATTTTATGTTTGGATTATTCATTATAAATACATAGAAATATAATGGATTTTTACATACTAGTCTTGTATCAGCATTAGAATTTTTTGTTGTTGCTTTTTTATTTTATGTATTTGGGTGTTCTACCTGCATGCATGTATATATGTGTACCATGTGTGTGTAGGACCTATGGAGGCAGAAAAGGGTATCAGATCCCTTAGAACTCCAGTTAGAAGAAGTTGTGAGCCTCAGTAGGTGGGTGCTAGGAACCAAACCCCAGGTACTCTGCAATAACAGCAAGTGCTTTTAACCATTGAACTATCTCTACAGGTCATTTTGTTTGTTTTTGAGACAGGGTGTCTCTGTGTAGCCCTGGCTAGCCTGGAACTCTATGTAGACCAGGCTGGCCTCAAACTCAGAGATCTGATTGTCTCTGTCTCCCAAGTGCTGGGATTAAAGGAGTGTGCCACAATGCCTGACTCATAATAATAAAGTTTTTTGAAGAGTATGGTGATGTTTGTTATTACAAGCCTCTATAGTCCCAGGGTCTAAGAAAAATGCTAGTCAGGAAATTATATAACCAACGGTTATATTAGGTCAGTTTTTGCAAATCTTCCCTTATTTTTATTAGAGATATGTATTACATAATACATAATATTTTTATAGTATTACTATAAATTAAATGATAGGCTATAAGATTTTAAACCTATGTCTTGTTGAAGATTGTTTTATATAGTACATTATAAATATAATTTTTGGTAATATTTCTAAGCAAAATGGTAATTTCCAGCTTGTTAAATTTTAGTAAGTAACCTCAATCAAATTATATCAATAAAAGCATGTTTTTTGAAAGTATTAAAAACTATGATTTTGTTGGCTTTGGTTTTGAATACACATGAAATATTTATTAAATTATATAGTAGGGCATGTATGACTTACAGTACTTTTAAGTTTTCAAAGAAGTGAATTGAAACCATACATTTTTTAAGGTAAGCTAAGATTCTAGTCTAGTGGTGGTGCACACCTTTAATCCCAGCAAGCCATAGTTTGGATTTCTGTGGTGGGTATATTCATACTGCTCTCTGACTATCTTACCTTCTGCCTTTGGGCCTGTTTTATGAATTGATTTTAATGATTTCAGTGTCTCCTAAAAGTGGTTAAAGGAAGGGTAATGTTACTGACATGCAAAAGCTAATGGTAGTACATGCTTGACTTACAGTGTAGATACTGAGGTGATCTCTTTTGAAAATAAAAGATGAATCTAGTTTGTTTGGTTTCTCTTCTCTCTCTCGGGTTTTTGAGAAAGTACTTCTCTGTGTAGTCCTGGCTATCTAGGCTGGATTCTGTTAGTCTTAAACTCAGATTTGAATGTCTATGCCTCCTGAGTGCTAGGATTAAAGGTGTACACCACCATGTCTGGCTGTTTTTTTCCTTTTGTTCAGTCTCATTGCAGGCTGGCCTCCAATTACTTTGTAGCCAATGCTGTCCTGATAGTCCTGCCTGTTTAGAACTATACCACCCTCCAGACATCTGATGGTCTGATCTTCCTGCTTTTGCTTCCCAGCTAAGTACTAGGATTACAGGCATGTGCCAACATGCCTGGCTTATAGCCTAGTTTGTATATGCATTTTCTGGTGATAAGACATTGATTTTTCAACTTTTATTTGTATACCACGTATTGTGTTCTTCTAGGCAAAGAAACTAAGAGATACTGACGATATCCCAGGTGAGCCCTCTTTCCAGGATTTTGAGTACCCTGAGTATGATGACTACAGGGCAGAGGCTTTCCTGCACCAGCAGAAGAGGATGGAGTGCTACAGCAAGGCCAAGGAGGCCTACCGCATGGGGAAGAAGAATGTGGCCACCTTTTATGCCCAGCAGGTGTGGTGGGAAACTGGTCACAGTTTATTAATTCAAGTAGCCTGAAGTACATGATACTTACACTGTTTTAGCTTAACAGTTGTTGGGGGAGGAATTTAGTGGTACTAAGTGACATATAAAGTGGCCTAATATTAAAGAGCCCAGTGATTGAGAGGATTCTGCTTGCTTTGCTAGTCCTGTCATTGCTTTTGTATGTGGAGCTTCATGGGTCACGGTTGCTCATCCCTCATCATCATGGGTCACAGTTGCTCCTCCCTCATCATTGTGACTTGCTCTCAAACATGCCAGGACAAGTGCTCTGGCCACTGAGCTGCGTTTCTAGCCCTCTTTATTTTGCTTTCTCTTTTTCTTTTCCTTTATTTTTTATTTTGAGACTGAGTCTCATAAAATTACCTAGGCTGGCCTTGAACTTGTGATTCTGGTGGCTTAGCTTTCCAAGTTGCTGGGAGTATGGCTGTGTACCACTAGGCCTGGGGAATTGTGGTTTGTTCTCTTCTTTAGATGAAATCAAATGATCTCGTGGTCTCCTAAGCAGTGTATTATTTAGTAGCACATCTGAACAGATAGAGGTTTCTTGGAGGAAAGAAAGCAGAAAAGTTTGTCTTAGACTGGAATCACATGTGTCTTACATTGTCTATAGTGTTCTCGGTTTTAATAAGGCATCTTATATTTGTGTGTGTGTGTGTGTGTGTGTGTGTGTGTGTGTGTGTGTGTGTGATATATCTGTATATATATTTGGTATATGTACAGGATTGTGTGAGTGCATGTTCCTGTACTTACAGAGGCCAGAGGACTTGTATCTTCCAATTTTACTTTCCATTTATTGCTGTAAGGCAGGCAGTATGGAAGTACTGAACTGGAAGCTCACCCTTTGAGTTTCCTGATCTGTCTCTTCCCCTAATGCTGGGCTTAAGGCACATGCAGGTTTGTCCAGCTTTTTTTATTGATGTGACCTCAGGTCTTGAAGCTTGCACAACAGTGGTTTTTAACCATGGGGCATTCTCCTAGCCTCTGAGCATCATTTTTATGTTCACAAAGAGGAAAAGGATATTAATATTTTTCAAGAGAATAAAATTTCTTGCTGGGCTCACTTTGCATGGTAATGTAAGAAATAAATACCCTTCTCATTGTTGTGGTTCTACATGCTTACTCTTTTGTTATTGAGCAGAAGATATCAAACTAGTTTAGCCCTTTGAGGCCTAACAACAGACCTTGAGGGGAGGGTACCCAGAAGATATTTGAAGGGATCGTCAAGCTGAGGTCCCGGACTATCAAAGAATACACTTCATTAATCAAGCATTAAACCAATTGGTTCTTTCTTGAGCTAAATATTGTTTCCTTTTATGATTTTTAAGAATTTTTTAATTTATACTTTGCAAACTATGATTGAGTAGTTTAAGAACCATATTTTTTTTGTTTTTAAATTTTTAAATTTTTTTTTTATGCATATAGAGTATTTTTATTTAATTTTATATAACAAAGTCCAATTAAATGAAAACAAACATTTATCACAATATTTGGGAATTTGGGCGCCGTTCTTTCCACTACTTCCTGCTGGTAAGGGCGCTGTCTTGGGGGATCGAAGAAGATTCAGATATCCTAGCTGTAGTCTGTAGGGCTGTTTTGTCCGCTGTTTGGAATGTAGGATCAGCTTGTACTCTTTTTCAGGCGGTCTGGTGTGATCAAACCACATTAGTCTGGAGGATCCACATCTTTTCATTTTCTGTGGAAACAAAATAGAAATACTTTTCCCCAGTAACTTGTTCTTCAACTTAAATTTTGGAGTCAAGCGTTTTTTTTTTTTTTTTAAGAACCATATTATTTAGTTACTGAATTTTTCCTTGTTTTTTAGCTTGTTATATCAAGATGTTAGATTTAGTGTTCTGGTTTTTAGTTAGGGCACTTTTGCTTCTTGATTGTCTAAGTCAGAAGTTATCAACTTGTGGTTCTCAAATTGAACATGTATATCAGACATTTATATTATGATTCATAACAGTAGCAAAATTATAGTTAGGAAGTAGCAAAGAAATAATTTCATGGTTGAGGGTTACCACAACTGAGAAATTATAAAAGGGTCATAGCATTAGGAAGGTGGAGAACCACTGGACTAAATGGTAATTACCAAAGTGGTGTGTTATGATTAAAGGGCAGTCTTCATGAGCAGAAGATGAAAGAAGCCAACCACCTTGCTGCTGTGGAGATCTTCGAGAAAGTCAATGCCTCTCTGCTGCCACAGAATGTCCTAGACCTCCATGGGCTGCATGTGGATGAAGCGATAGAGCATTTGACGGCAGTTTTACAGCGGAAAACTGAAGGTAGGAATGTGCTAATGACCTTGGTATTGATTGACCTTGACAAATACAGAGAATCTGCATGTGCAGACTGAGGTGTGATATTAAGATTTCCTTCTTGGGATTATTTCTATCCCTTTGTTACATCTGTTAAAGAAAGATACGGTGTAATGTGGGAATCCCCTATGACTTATAAATGGGACTTGCTTTGAATATTGTTTGTAGTGGGTGTTTGCTCAGATACAAAAGTAAGTAAGGTGTTAGGATTTTGTAGAACTGCCTCCAAGGGCAGTTTTTCTAAATGCCTTCGGCGTGCTGCTTCACCTTCCTTCTATTGGTATGTAGTCACACAGGTCAGTAGGAAAGGTCACACCTGCTGTTCCTGACATTAAGATCTTTTTCCAGACTTTATTCAGTGTCATGCATTTCACATACATTGAAGTGTCATCTTGCTTTGTTTTCATCAGTGGGTAGTATTCCATAGAAAGTTTAGTCTGTTTTTGTTATGTCAGACACTAATACTGGAAGTCATCTGTTTGTCATTACTGGAGAAGTTTTGAATTATAAAGATTCCCTGCATTGTCATTCTGTATATATACATATATCAATGCATATCACTTGTTATGAAGTAGGATTGATATGTAAGATTGAAACATATGCATTGAAACATATGAAGAGGTTGCAGAGTCATATAAAAAAATGCTCATGTACCAGTGACTCCAGTAACAAAAGTGTAGACATTTTACTGTTTTCTCATTTTAAAATACTTTGTATTACACTTCTCACCAATCTTTCTCTTCCTTTCTTTTCTAATTGAAATAAATATCTTAAAATTTATTCCTCCTGCCCATTGAAAACCTCTTTGCTATATATGCACACACCTCTGTTCAGTACACACAGTTCCTTTTTGTTTTCTCTTATTTTTTTGAGGTGGGGGTCACTTATTGAGCTGGGACCTTGTTGATTTGACTGAGTAGGCAGTAAATCCAGGGTTCTCTGTCCCCGTCTTGCCAGTATTGATAATACAGTTAGGTGCCATTCTCCGATCTTTTATGTGGGTGATGAATTCATTTCTTCGTGTTTTTTATTTATTTTATGTGCATTTGTGTTTTGCCTGTATGTATATCTGTGTAAGGATAGCAGATACCATGGGACTGGAATTACAGTGTGAGCTGACATGTAGGTGCTGGAAATTGAATCTGGATCCTCTGGAAAGGCAGCCAGTGCTCTTAACTGCTGAGCCATCCATTAATCCATCTCTCCAGCCCCTAAACTTTCTTTTTAGACAGGGTTTCTCTGTCTAACCCTCTCTGTCCAGGACTCTATATAGACCACACTGTCCTTGAACTCACTGAGATCCACCTGCCTCTGCCTCTGAGTGCAATGCTAGGGTTAAAATATGTGCACAACACATCCACTGTACCAGTACTTTAAAGCAGCTATCTCCTCAGCCCCTGAAAAGTGGCTTTTTTCTGAACCATTTGAAAATAAGTTGTAGATGTTGTGGTGATTTAACTCTAAAGCCCTTAGCAGCTATATCTCTTGAGGACAGATTTATTCTCCTGTCTAACCATTATACTCTATTTTTAAGACAGTGAACATCACTAGTTACATTGTCTAACACACATGCCATATTCTTGTTTTCCACCTTTTGTGCATACTGTCCTACATAGTTGTGCCTTTCCTCTTTCTCTCTGGGATCTAGTCAGTTATAGTGTGTTTTAATTCATTGTCCTAAATACTTTGCTGTAGTATGAAATAGTTTGTTTTATCTTTTTCTTTTTTTTCTTTAATGCTAATGACATTTATGTGGGCTCCAAGCTTATGCCCTACATTTCAAATGTGTATAATTATTTCCTTTTTTTTAAACAACTCAGGTTGAATTTAATTTTTTAATATACTTCATGGGTGACTGGAGAGGCCACACTAGGTTACATTGCAAGATATCTTTAAAAACTATACTGGTTACATTGGTAATGTTTCAACTGTTCTTGGTGAGTAGATTAGGAGACATTCATGGCTAGTTTGTCCTAGTATTGAAGGGGTTATTGGATGCCTAGTTAAGTGAGGATTTCTATCAGATTTCTCTGTGGATGAAAATAGACCTGTTGAAATAATTAGTAGTCTTCTGTGGTTGATACTCTGTCTCTTAACCACTGTTCTTAGAATATTTTATGTAATTGTTTTAGCATCTGTTGATGGCCCTTGGCTAAGTAAATTACTGCATTGGTGGTTGCATGGTGGAGTTACAATTTTTTGTTTGTTTGCTTATTTTGTTTTTTCCTCTCTTCAAAAAGAAACATTTGTCTGTGTGGCCCTGTTGTCCTGGAACTCTCTCTCTAGACCATGCTTTCTACAAACTTAGAGGCCTGCCTGCCTCTACTTCCCAAGTGCTAGGATTAAAGTCATATGTCACCATTGCCTATCAGGTTATAATTTTAAAAAAATTTATATTATTAGCTGAAGTTGTTTTATAGATCTTCCTACTCCAGTACTTAAATTTTGAAAGTTTATTTTATGTATATAACTGTTTTGCTTGCATGAATATCTGTTCACTATTTGTTTGCCTGGTCAGAAGAGGACATTGAGTTAAGAGTATGGTTGGGTGTGAGTCTGTGTGTGTGTGTGTGTGTGTGTTCTTCCTTCTTTTCTCCTCCCTTCTTCCCTCCTCCCTACCTCCCTCCCTTCTGTCCGCCCTTCTATTCCGTGTGTGTGTGTGTGTGTGTGTGCATAATGTAGATGTATTTAATGGAGTTTTACTTGTCTATGAAGTTCTCATACATGGATGGACTTGTAAGAATGCTGTGTAAAAGCAGTACAGAACAAAAAAGTGACATTTATATGAAATGTCCTTAGAGGCAGAAAGTAGATTAGTGGTTGCTTGGGCTGCAGCTAGTAGTATAAAATAGCTGCTGACAGGGACATGGTTTCTGTGTTGATTGTGTAGCTGTAGCATTGTAGATATGCTAAAAAGACCAAAATAACAAACACTACTGAGTAATAAGGGGTTTTGTTTTGTTTTGAGACAAGATGTACCTAAGTTACCCATAGGTTATATAGCCCAGGTCGACCTTGTACTTGTACTCAGCCTCCCAAGTAGCTACAACTAAGGCTTTCATCACCAGGCTCAGCTGAATTGCAAATTTTTAAAATAGAGAGTATTATGTTATGTGAATTTTATATCAATAAAAAGTTAGGGGGAAAAATATTCAGTAACTTGCCTGGGGTAGTAGTTGTTCACATCCAAGGGGCAAATAGTTTTCTGAAGCCAAAGCCATCTTGTGTATGCTTGTGGTAGTGTGTCTACCACTTACCACCAGATGGCAGGATTGTTGAATAGAAGTGTTTGGGGTGGGGAGAGGAATCTGGGGAGGGTATCCTTGCATTGGTTTTAGTCATCATATAAAAGCACTTTCAAAGCCAAGGATGAATAGAGATACCTGGATCCTGTGTGCCATGTGAGTGAAGTACACACCCACTTGTGAAGTATTTCTGCCCCCAGATAACGGGAAATTTAAGAGTTTGAATCAGCAAATAAAGACTGGAGAGCTAGGATAAATAACCATTTTTAAAAAGTAAAAGTAAAGAAAAATAAAGGGAAGAAAAATCTTTGGATTTATAGTCACCTAAAATATAAAACATCAGACTGGCACAACTTTAATTCCAGCACTCAGAAGGCAGAGGCAGGTGGATCTCTGAGTTTGAGGATACCTGGTCTACAGAGTGAGTTCTAGGTCAGTCAGAGCTATATGCTAAGACCCTGTGTCAAATAGAACAAGCAAACGTATCAAGTGGGACATGGTGGCTCATATCTGTAATCTCAGCACTTGGTAGGGTGAGACAGGAGTATGAGTTCAAGGCCAGCCAGGGCTACAGAGTAAGACCCTATATTTATAATAATAATAAAAAAAGGTCTGGGCGACGGTATATGCCTTTAATCCCAGTATTCAGAAGGCAGAGGTAGGCGGATCTCTGGGAGTTCAAGGTCAGCCTAGTCTACAGAGCGAGTTCAGGGACAGGCTCTAAGGTTACAGAGAACCCCCAGAAAACAAACAAAAAAAAAATCCCAAGTAAATCCACTGAATGAAATATTATTTCAACCCCAATTTAAAAAAATAAATCACTCCATAAACACATTTTAGGTAATTGGGGAACTTCGATTAATAAGATGACAGTCAAGGGTTTTTTGTTTTTTATTTTTTTCGTTCTTGAGACAGAGTCTCTCTATGTACCTCTGATGGCCTAGACCTCACTAGGTAGATCAGGCTGGCCTCAAATTCACAGAGATCTGTTTACTTCTGCCTTCCAGATGGGGAGATTAGAGGCATGCATCACTGTTTGGCTTGTTATAATTCTTTAGAGTCCTTTTGGGGAACCATTCGAGCATTTGTAGTTCAAAATGTTAGCAATCTACGATGTGCTCAAGACTCAGACAGTTGTTTCAGAGGTGGTGTCAGGAGCAGTCTGTAATTTTAGACAGTGAATCTGTGCAGTAATAAGACAACTCCTTAGATCTGCTCTGTTTGGAGGTGTGTGAATCAACTGAAGAACATTTTCTGAGCAGCAGTGAACTATTAGACAGGTGATGGCTGCCTGACCTGCTTGCTGAGGAGGCAGAAATGAAGGTGCATGAGAATGGGTTCAAGGAAACTAAGATGGAAGATTTCAGCTGGTTTCAAGACAGGCCCTTGTCGTGTAGGTAGCCCAGGCTAACCTCAGACTCATAACCTTCCTGTCCTAACAACATACCCTTTTAAAATTCCAAGCTAGTTGGGCATGGTGGCCCATATAGATAGATCACTGTACGTTACCAGACAGCCTGGTATCCATAGTGATTTCCATGCCAGCCAGGGCACTATGGTGAGATCCAGTTTCAAATCAGTAAGTAAATAAGTAAGTAACCAAGCAAGCAAGTAAATAAATAAAAGTACAAGCCAAGTATTGCCCTGTATATAATGAGATTTGAAAAACAATATTTTGATTCTATTTGATTAAGGTAATGTAATAAGCAGAGTGTGAAATGTTTAATGATATATATATAATACTAAACATAAAAACAGGCTATTTATGAATGAGAAGCAAGTCTGTTACATTAACTACATTATTATTAATAGAATTTTAATTTGTTGTTATTCTATTAGAGCTTTTCTGTATCTAATTTCAGAATTTATATATTTACCTTTCCAAGATCAAATAATAAAGTAGCAACTGCATTCTTTAAAGAGATCAGTGTCCCTGGGAGGTGGTGGTACACGCCTTTAATCCCATTACTCAGGAGACAGAAGCAGGTGGATCACTGAGAGTTCCAGGCCACAGCCTGGTCTACAGAGTGAATTCCAGGACAGCCAGAGCTATGAAGAGATACCCTGTCTCGAAAAATCAAAAATGGGGGGAGGGAGAGGGGAATAGAGGGGATGAATCAAATGTTGTTCAATATTTAAAAAAGTAATCTCTCCTGGGAAGAATTTTAACAATGGATTATCTTCGACACTAGGACTATGTTAAAATTAGATTTGCTAATAGCTAGCTGTTCTTGGAAGACAACCTTCAAAGCAGTGGCTGTTATTATCTACTTTTCCTAGTGTGAAGAAAAAACAGGCATCAAGAAACCAAATAATTTGCCTATGGTCACACATAGTTAATTTGTAGCAGAACTGTGATTCATACAAAATCTGGTTTGGTTGACTTTAAAATATTTCATTAATAAAATTGTTACAAAGATTCTAATTCACAAAAATATGTAAAGCAGTCCGTGTGTACAATAATTTTTAGATATAATTAATATCGCTGTCATATTATTTAGTAAGACTTGTAGAGAATGGAAATTGTTCTCCTAACTTGAGCCTTATTAATCATTTTCTTTCCTGGTCCAGTGTTTCACTATGTACTGATTTCAAACTCACCTTGTAATCCTGGCTGCCTCAAAGCCAACACCTTTTGTCTCTCAGACTGTGCTAGCTATCAAGCATGTACTGCTCGGCCTAGTCCTTAAGTCTTTCAATGGATAGATTTCTCTGAGGTCTATGTGCTTTAAAAACAAATTCCCCATTAGGTTTTAAGTCTCTAAAACACCATGAAAATAATTTTCTATGCTTTTGAGTATATTTTGTGTTGAGAATGTAGGAAATGATTTTAACTGTTCCAATTCCCATTTTAATAGAATTTAAGCAGAATGGTGGTAAACCCTATCTTTCTGTGATTACGGGGAGAGGAAACCACAGCCAGGGAGGAGTTGCTCGCATCAAGCCAGCTGTCATTAAATACCTCACAAGCCACTGCTTCAGGTGAGTGCAGACTTCTTCTGTAGTACGTTCAAAGCTAGTAAGATAGCTACTTCAGCCCAGCTCTCTGATTTCAGGCACAAATTGATGGTTAAAGGATAGCTTTTCTTGACAGATTTATATGGTCTGGTAAAGGAGAATTCATTCAAAGGAAAATATAGCTTTTGTTAGTGGCTAAGACTTTCAATCATAAATTTAAAATTATAAAAAATGAAATCTCCTTGGATTCCTTCTTAGTGTGCTACCCTGCAGAACTAGATACATGGTGGTCTTAAGACTTGCTCATTTTGAAAGACAGTGTATCTGTGGGGCTTTGGCTGAAACAATGTCACATACCATCTTATCTTTCATACAACAGACTGGTCATGAAGGTCAAATTGAGAAGTTTTGAAAAATCATAAGTTATATTGACTAGTGATCTAGCAATAGCCCAAAGTTTTGGGATTATATTTGCTTTGACAATAAATCAGGGGGATTGCAAACATAGATATTGGTCCTGGACATTAATAAAGACTGCAGTGTTAGTAATAAATATGAAGTATAGGTCATTTAAATTGATTACAAGATACGTTTCTTAAGTAGTTTGAAATATTTACATTTTAAATAACTCTTTTCTCATTTCCACAGGTTTTCTGAAATTAAGCCTGGGTGCTTGAAAGTCATGCTGAAGTGAACTTTACAGGCCCTTTAGAGGCAGGAAGGTTTACAGACTGGGATTGGTTTATGTGCAGTGATTCAGTCAATTCTGCTCTCACGTGTTCATTAGGAATATAAAACAAGAAAAATGTCTTTCTGAATCCAAGGAAAGCTTTTTTTCTGGATCAAATGCCAATCTATTGCTTATTAAAACATTAAAAAGAATTTTTATTGATTACAAAATCTCTAAAAAAATTATCACCTGCAGGTTAAAAGTCTTAAGTGGTCTAGTTCATTCTTAGGAAGAACCCCAAAACAAAAACTGCTGCTGCTGTTGACGACTGTTTCACGTTTAGAAAGTCCTGTAGACGTGTGTGAGGGGCAGTGTGCTTTGAAACCGGGTTCCTGGCTCTGGATAGACTGTTAAAAGTAGTAAAGGAGGAAGGTGATTGGCAGAACATGGGATTCTTACTGCTTTCGAAGCCTATCACAGAGTCTTGGACGTTGCTGTAGTGTAGAGGGGTTGGTCTTTCTCTGTGACTCTGATCTTGATCCCTTCCCTTCTGGACTGTTCTGAGCCATGCATTTTCTGGGAGGAAAGCTGGGTCTGAGACTGACTTGCAGTCTCATAGCTTCCACAGATAGTAGACATTTCAGAGAAGGAGAAATCCTTACAGGACTGCTTATGGAGCTGTCTGTGAGTGGTTCCATACAGTGCTAAATGGCTGTTTTATACTTGAGACATCATTTCTAAGCTATTCTAAGTCAAAAACCTTATTGACTTAAGTGTGAAAACATTTTTTTGGTATAACTGTAAAAGAAACCCTTGTAATTAGGAAAATTTTTTACCTTTATTTTGAAAAGGAGCCAACTTTCTGAAAGAAAAGTCTCATTGACTTCTGTTGGACTAGTGTTCTATTAGTATGTTAATTCTCATTTCCTTTATACAGACTTGTATGGTGAACTGTAATTTTTCTATGAGACAGTAGTTAAAATAAATTTAACTTTGGATATACAGAGTATTTTCAACATATACAGTGTTTGCAAACAATTATGTTGTTTTTTATTTAGCTTACAAAATCACCTTCATCAGGAATGTGGCATTGCCCTGACAGAATGAACTCCCAAAGAACAGACATGGTAATGGGAATAAAACTCAGAACCACGTTCTTACATCTTGTGAATCATGCTTTTTTAAAGAAGAGCCTTACCATTGAATTTTATTTCCATAAAAACAAAAATATATGTTTATTACCTACAAATGGTTAGTGATTATTGATATTCAAGTATTTATATTTTTAGACTTGTAATAATTTGTTTTAAAAATTGCAGTAGTGTATCACACTGTTTTTGGTAATGCTCAGAAGTGTTATATATATATATATATATATTAAAAATAAGATCCCTTTTACAAGTTAGTACAAAAACCATAATCAGTAGTTAATGAAGTAAACTTATTTCTGTTCTCAAAATAATATGATTTAAACAATAAGGAACAGTATTAAACCTGGAATAATTGGAGTGTGTGCATACTCATTTTCTGTGTTTTATATTTTTCCACCCTTTTTAAAAAAGTCACATTTGAGTACTCCAGATAGACTTATTCTATTACTGTGATTATAATTAATAAGGGAACAATGAGAAGAAGTACACGTGTGGCTCACTGTGGTTGGAGGCCAAGAGAAAGCAGCTGTTCTGATGCTGTGCCTAACCTGAGTCTGAGACATCTCATAGAAACCTAGTACAGACCTCGAAGTCAGTCACAAATTCAAAATCCTTCTGCCTTACACTCCTTAATGTTGAGATTATAGATGTGCTTTGCCATGTTCGGCTTCATATTCCCCAATAAATATACAGAGTTTGAACATTATATATATTTATAGTCCCCAGATTTCTCCCCACCTCCTGTCTGATATTGTTTAAGCAGGTACAATTATGAAAGAACATCCTCTGACCTTTCTTTTGCCAATCTCCAAACCTCACGTCCCAGCCTTTGGGGATTATCAGATAGTTTTCTTCTGCCCACTTCTAAGTTTTGTATCTCAGAGGTGAAGATGGTTTAAAAGTGACTCAGGTTAGAACTCTGTGAACCTACTATTTTAAAGCATTTTAAAAGTGTAGCATTTCTTCAAAGAAAAGGAAGTAAGATCTCAGTAGCAGTTATATACAGTTAATAGTCTATCATTGATATCAACCCAGTGAAGAAAGAGTCGATAGGGGACACCATGGTGAGAGTACAGTGGGGCCAGGGCCCTCATGGCCATTTCCAGTCCATTTCCTGGTTCCTGTGAGGCAATTTGAGCATGTTTTCTGACATTCATTAGCTGTTCACATATTGCTGTTATTTACGAGTAGAGGTTTTCTTCTGTTTATTAGTTGTTTTCAGTATCATCCATATTATAGAGTGGAAACTGGGGCTGATATCATTTCTGTTCTAACATATTTGGGAAAGAAAAGCTTCCAGTACCTCTGGGTGGTTTCCTGTCCTTTGTTTTGGTCTTTTTCTCTTTCAAGTGGTCTGTTGGCTTTAGAAGGACATGTGTAATGACAAAGTTATTTCTGAACTGGTAATTAGAAACTTTTGAAATTCAAGAAATTGCTCTGACAATGTTTTAACTGCTCTCAAGAAAATATATGAAATGGACAAAAATAATGTGTGCTGTTTTTTACGAGTGCTTTTCCATTGTGCAATGAGGTGACATTTTGATAATGCTCTGTGCTGTGCTAAATGTTGCTTATTCTTAATTACTTGTAAAGAAAACAGATTTAAATGTCTGTGTGGCCAAAACCAAGTGCCATATAAAAGGAAAAGTAAGTTGATGTAGAATGTATGTTAATGGTGCTTATTTGTAAGGTGTAATTTAAGTTTACAGTATTACTTGATGCCTCTTTACAGAAGGGAATAGAGAAGCAAGGCTAGAACATCAGTGTCCTAACACCTCATGACCTCAGTTAGGTGATGACGAAGTTCCTTCATTGTCCTCACAGTCAAGTAGTTGACTTCCATGATGAACCTGTTGTTATTGTTGTGTTTACCCCAGACATCTCATTAATGTGCCACATTGCAGCTAGAAGTTGAAGAATAAACTATAAGCTGCTCAGACAGTATAGTAGAAGCAACTGTTTTTATTTGTACTATAAAAATGTGATTTTTGCTGTCAACTCTGTACTTTTTTATTGAAAATGTTTATAACTTTGCTTTTAAAATTTCTAATGAAACCATTTGCAAATTACACATTTAATTTAATAAAATGCTTTAGTCACAGTCCAGTGTGAGGAAATCCTTCGTTTGATGTGGTAGCTTTAGTGGCTTAAATATTCAAGACTATTTTTACATGTATCTTTGTGATTCTCTGGGAACGGTGTCATAAAGTTTCCATTTCTGTACAACTGTGCCAGCCTGTGTTGCTTTTGTACATGGGTTCCTGTTTGGCTCAGAGAAGGAGCTCAGCCTTCTCTTGTCACACCCTTGCATTGTCTGATTGACATCAAAATTAGGAGTAATTATTTATGCCTGTTAGGAACACAGATAATACTCCAACACCAGCTTTATTCAGCTCAAAAAAGCAGAATCTAATTTACCAATTATCAAAGGTGTTAAAATATTTATTCAACAGGTATTTATTGAGTACTGGTTACTGAAGATACAATCAGTGTAAGATAGCTTCTACCCATAGGCATCTTATGTTCTCACCAGTTGGTATGTGTATAGTGATTTATGTTGCCTAATTTCTTTCACATATATTTATTGTGGATTTCTAGGGGATCTTCTTACATAGAAGGTGCTACCCCAATTCAATGACTAGAAAAGTTAACTGACTTGCCAGTTAGTGGCAGAGGTACAACTCCAACCTAGATATCTGATCCTTAGTATGTAACAGCTGCATATGTCCTTAAAAAGGGAGAAGGGAGCTGGGGGTGGGGGTGGTTGCACACCTTTAATCCCAACACTCAGGAAGCAGCACAGGCTGGCTGATCTCCATGAGTTCAAGGTTAGCCTGGTCTACACAGCTTGTTCCAGAACACACAGAGCTGTGGTGAGACCCTGTCTCAAATAAGAATATTTAAAACAAACGAGTTGGTTGTGGTGGCTAGTTAGCAGGTCTAAAAATGTCCCATTTATGAAGTTGCCTTTGTCCTTTATCCAAAGAAAGCCAGTATTTAGGGGGCACCAAGTACTATGGACAAAACACAATGGCTTATTTCTCTCTCGCTATTAGGTACCAGAGAGAGAGAGAGAGAGAGAGAGAGAGAGAGAGAGAGAGAGAGAGAGAGAGAGAGAGGAGAGAGAGAGAGAGAGAGATCTAGGACTGATGAAGCTTTTTGGAGGATTTAATTAAGATCCTTTTAGTTTTCTGCCACACCCAGGCCTCTGTCCTCTTCATTTTGGTAGAAGGAGGACAGGAAGATAGCAGTAGGCAGCGCCAGCCCACGAAAGGTCCTGTTTGGAAGCTGCTGTAGGACATTTCTGTTTGTTAATCTTATTAGCTAGAACGTAGTCATGTACCTACAAGAAAGACTGGGAAGTTAGGTATTTCAGACGGGCCTATACTCAACTAAGTTTTGAGCATTGTCTTGAAAGAAAGTAGAGGTGAGGGGAATGAATAGCAGTTTCTGCCTTATTGTTTTTACTGTGATACATAAAAATGTAGAAATTAGTTGTCAATGTATCCCTCTAACAGGAATACTAAAGAGTACTAAGAAGGAAAGCCATAATATACATGTTTTGATTTTAAACACAAGTGATTTTAGTAATCAGTATGGCTGAGGAAAATGGATTTGGGGTTCATAATTTTAAGTTTTTAAGGATCACTTTTGATTAGTTGTAGCAATTAGATAAGACCTGTAGGTTAATTCTTATGATAATAATGCTTAGTTAATCCATTTGCATATTACCTTATGCCTCCCCTGTTAATTATATCCATGTTCAAAAGCTCAATATTTAGTGCATGTGATTTGCAACAAGTAGAACAGACTAGGAGACAGTACTCTTTGTCTGAGGGCTCAGAGGCTGCTTATAAAATTATAAAGAAGGGACTGTGGAAGTCTTAAGGTCACTGCTTGGCAGATGATAGGTGAACTTAACAAATGCTTAAAATGTCTAAATGCCTTCTATAAGAAAAGTTGAAGCATGTGAAAATCCATATCTTAGTCTTTATGTGAGTTCACAGACTTTGTACCTTGTCTTTGCTGAGGTTCTAGAGGTTCTCCTGGTGACCTCAGCTTCATTTGTTAGAATTTATTTAGTTTTAATAGCTAAAGAAACACTAGTTGTTTAATATTACTGAAATTTCCCAGTGTGAGCATATTCATTATAGAAGGGATGGAGCAATGCATGTGATCCATCAGTGGAGTGTCTCCTGTCAGCTGCAGGCTGTGGAGTGGCCACTTATTTATAAGCCAGTGTAAGATAGTACTGAATACACTTCCTTTTCCATGGCATCAGATAAATATTCTTGTAAATAAGTTGTGAGCTGGGCATTGGTGGTGTATGTCTTTAATCCCAGCACTCAGGAGGCAGAGGCATGTGGATATCTGTGAGTTTGAGACCAGCCTGGTCTACAGAGCTAGTTCCAGGATAGGCTCAAAGCAATACAGAGAAACCCTGTCTTGAAAAACCAAAAACAACAAAAAACAAGAAGCTGTGAAGACATGTCTAAGAAACCCACTTACTTTTGAACAGCTTGTCTTTAGGTATGTCTATTAGTGGTCTAACTAGTGAAATTCTATTAGGGACTTCATGTTTTAAAAAATATCTGAGAAATTTAAGATGTCCTTTAAAGAAAATGGAAAGTATTAATAGCCTTTAACTATGGGGACAAGGCTTGCTGGCAGCACAAGGGGACCTTTGAGGCCTGCAGGCTAGTGGTCTTCATTAGAAGAGGAATTAAGTGACATAGCTTTCAGTATGTGCTCCTTGTAGGGCACTTAAGGCCAATGTTTCTGGGATTGCTGCACTAACCTGACCCTCTAATATGAGATATATGCATGTTTTGTACATACTTGGGCTGCTGCATTGGGAGAATTTGGAGTGAAAGTATTAACACTGAAAACATCAGTTAGTTGGCAGTTGTTAGGGTCATGCCAAAGCCAGGTGAAGGCATCTTTTGCAAACTGTGCCTGTGATCATAACTCAGTTTGAGCTTGGGGCACAAGACCAAAGACAAGGCCCAGAGCACTGGGGACTAATAAGAGACACCCTGTAAAACTAGCATCCTGAAGGACTTCACTTTGAATGGATGAGAATAAATGAAAATACTTTTGTCTTCCCACCCCACAAGGCTGCAGGGAATATTGGCTGTGAGTAGAAGTTTTAGTCTTTGGTTTTCTCAGATTAACAGCCTAAAGTCACACAACCCATGGTAGTCAAAAACAAAAC